TGGGACACTATTCCTCCCACTGACACCAATGGGCACTATTCCTCCCACTGACACCAATGATGGGGCACTATTCCTCCTGACACCTGACACCTATTCCTCCCACTGATGGGGCACACTATTCCTCCCACTGACACCAATGATGGGGACACTATTCCTCCCACTGACACCAATGATGGGGCACTATCCTCCTCCCACTGACACCAATGATGGGGCACTATTCCTCCCACTGACACCAATGATGGGGCACTATTCCTCCCACTGACACCAATGATGGGGCACTATTCCTCCCACCACTGACACCAATGATGGGGCACTATTCCTCCCACTGACACCAATGATGGGGCACTATTCCTCCCACTGACACCAATGATGGGGCACTATTCCTCCCACTGACACCAATGATGGGGCACTATTCCTCCACTGACACCAATGATGGGCACTATTCCTCCCACTGACACCAATGATGGGGCACTATTCCTCCCACTGACACCAATGATGGGGCACTATTCCTCCCCACCAATATGATGGGGCACTATTCCTCCCACACCAATGATGGGGCACTATTCCTCCACTGACACCAATGATGGGGCCTATTCCTCCCACTGACACCAATGATGGGGCACTATTCCTCCCACTGACACCAATGATGGGGCCATACTATTCCTCCCCACTGACACCAATGATGGGGCACTATTCCTCCCACTGACACCAATGATGGGCACTAATTCCTCCCACTGACACCAATGATGGGGCACTATTCCTCCCACTGACACCAATGATGGGGCACTATTCCTCCCACTGACACCAATGATGGGGCACTATTCCTCCCACTGACACCAATGATGGGGCACTATTCCTCCCACTGACACCAATGATGGGGCACTATTCCTCCCACTGACACCAATGATGGGGCACTATTCCTCCCACTGACACCAATGATGGGGCACTATTCCTCCCAATGACACCAATGATGGGCAAATATCCTTCCTGACACCCCTATTCCTCCCACCACCAATGATGGGGCACTATTCCTTCCCACCAATGGTGAGGCACAATACCTCCCAATTGACACAAACTATTCCTCCCCCTGACACCAATGGGGCACTATTCCTCCACCACAATGATGGGGCACTATTCCTCCACTGACACCAATGATGGGGCACTATTCCTCCCCACTGACACCAATGATGGGGACCTATTCCTCCCACTGACACCAATGATGGGGCACTATTCCTCCACTTATACCAATGATGGGGCACTATTCCTCCCACTGACACCAATGAAGGGGCACTATTCCTCCCACTGACACCAATGATGGGGCACTATTCCTCCCACTTATACCAATGATGGGGCCTATTCCTCCCACTGACACCAATGAGGGGATCCCACTGACACCAATGAGGGGACACTATTCCTCCCACTGACACCAATGATGGGGCACTATTCCTCCCACTGATACCAATGATGGGGCACTATTCCTCCCACTGACACCAATGATGGGGCACTAATCCTTCCACTGACACCAATGATGGGGCCCTATTCCTCCCACTGACACCAATGATGGGGCGCAATTCCTCCCACTGACACCAATGATGGGGCACTATTCCTCCCACTGACACCAATGAAGGGGCCCTATTCCTCCCACTGACACCAATGATGGGGCGCAATTCCTCCCACTGACACCAATGATGGGGCACTATTCCTCCCAAAAAAAGGAATTAGAACATATTTTTACATATATTTGTAAAGACGTTCCAAAAATGTAGATTTGTATTTTTAAAGATTTTTTTCATATATTTTATAATAAAAACACATTTCAACATACAGTGTATATATATTTATTGAATACGGCCAAAATTGTAGTATTTCAAATATATTTTTCTTCCATAGGGTTACCCCCTTGCTCTCCGGAAGATTTATCCCCCCACCCTTTCTGACCAGGCCATTATTTTGCTATTTGCACTGCGCTAATTCGACTGGTAATTGCACGGTCATGCAACACTGTACCCAGACAAAATTGTATATCCTTTTATCACACAAACAGAGCTTTCCTTTGGTGGTATTTGATCACCACTGGGGGATTTTTATTTTTTGTGATATAAACAAAAAAAAGACCAAACATTTTTTTGAAAATAACCCCGACATTTTCTACTTTCGGTTATAAAAATTATCCAGTAAGCACGAAGGTAGTCATAAAATTCATTCTGCTCCGTGTCTTTGCCGAAAAAAACCCCCAAAACGTGTAAATTAATTGGTTTGTATGAAAGTCTGCAAACTGTGGGATAGATAATGGAAATTACACAGCTTTTACTTTCTGACTGCCCTTCACATTTCTTGAGGTGCTAAAATGCCAGGGCAGTACAACACCCCCCCCCTAAAAATTGAGCCCTTTTTTGGAAACTACACACCCCCAAAGAAATTTGCTGAGAGGCATGTTGAGTCCATGGAAGATTTTATTTTTTGCCAAACATTTTTGGAAAATGAAAAGAAAATATATTTTTTTACAATAAGTTGTCAGATGATTTATTGCTCACACATGCCATGGGTATATGAGGAATAACACCCCAAAATACATTCTGCTACTTCTCCCGAGTATGGGGATACCACATGTGAGAGACTTTTTGTCAGCCTAGCCGCATACAGGACCCTCAAATCCAATGACTACCTTCAGGCTTTCAAAGGGCATATTTCCTCATATGACTCCCTCACTGCCTATCTCAGTTTTGGAGGCCCTAAAATGCCAGGATAGTACAAACACCCCCCCCAAATCACCCCTTTTCACCTTTTCAGAAAGTAGACACCCTAAGCTATCTTCTGAGAGACATGTTGAGTCCATGGGGGATTTTATTTTTTGCCTAACATTTTTGGAAAATGAAAAACTTTTTTACACAAAGTTGTCGCTTAAATTATATATCACTCACACAGGCCATGGGTATATGTGGAATTACACCCTAAAACACATTCTGCTACTTCTCCCGGGTATGGGGATACCACATGTGAGAGACTTTTTGGCAGCCTAGCTGCGTACAGGACCCCAAAATCCAATGACCACCTTCAGGCTTTCAAAGGGCATATTTCCTCATACGACTCCCTCACTACCTATCACAGGTTTGGAGGCCCTAAAATGCCAGGGTAGTACAAACACCCCCCCCCAAATCACCCCTTTTCGGAAAGTAGATACCCTACGCTATCTTCTGAGAGACATGTTGAGTCCATGGAGGATTTTATTTTTTGCCAAACATTTTTGGAAAAGAAAAACTTTTTTTTTTTCACAAAGTTGTCATTTAAATGATATATCGCTCACACATGCCATGGGTATATGTGGAATTACACCCCAAAACACATTCTGCTACTTTTACCGGGTATGGGGATACCACATGTGGGAGACTTTTTGGCAGCCTAGCTGCGTACAGGACCCCAAAATCCAATGACCACCTTCAGGCTTCTAAAGGGCATGCCTCTTATCCAATTCCTTGGGGTGTCTACTTTCCAACAAGGGGTCATTTGGGGGCGAGGGGGTTTGGTGCTATCTGGCATTTTAGGGCCTCCAAAACCGTGATAGGTAGTGAGAAAAGTGATATGAGGAAATATACCCTTTGAAAACCTGAAGGTGGTCATCGGATTTTGGGGTCCTGTATGCGGCTAGACTGCCAATAAATCTCTGATATGTGGTATCCCCATACTCAGGAGAAGTAGCAGAATGTATTTTGGGGAGTAATTCTACATATACCCATGGCACGTGTGAGCGATATATCATTGAAGTGGCAACTTTGTGTAAAAAAAAGTTTTTTCACTTTCCAAACTTTTTTGGCAAAAAATAAAATCTTCTATGGACTCACCATGCCTCTCAGCATATAGCTTAGGGTGTCTATGTTCTGAAAAGGGGTAATTTGGGGGGTGGATTGGTGCTATCCTGGCATTTTAGGGCCTCCAAGACCGTGATAGGTAGTGAGAAAGTGATATGAGGAAATATGCCCTTTGAAAGCCTGAAGGTGGTCATTGGATTTGGGGGTCCTGTATGCGGCTAGACTGCCAATAAGTCTGTGACATGTCATACCCCCATACTTAAGAGAAGTAGCAGAATGTGTTTTGGGGAGTAATTCCACATATACCCATGGCATGTGTGAGCGATATATCATTTAAGTGACAACTTTGTATAAAAAAAGTTTTTCACTTTCCAAAAATTTTTGGCAAAAAATAAAATCTTCCATGGACTCACCATGCCTCTCAGCATAAAGCTTAGGGTGTCTATGTTCTGAAAAGGGATCATTTGGGGGGGGGGGGCTCTACTATCCTGGTATTGTATGAGAAATATATGAACTGTCCTGGTTCCAATAGAAGATAACATTCAGCATCGGACATTAGATTGTCAGCTCTTGTGGTTGTAGATGAGGGCAGGAGTGGTGTGTTGGGTTATGGGGAGGGTCGGCCCATGATGTGCCTCTAAGATGGACGGCTCTATAGGGGTTGATTTACTGGAGGGTGCAAAATCTGGAGCTGCTCTAAATAGAAACCAATCAGCTTCCAGGTTTTATTGCCAAAGCTTTATTGAACAAGCTGAAGATGATTGGCTGCCATGTACAGCTGCACCAGGTTCTTCACTCTCCAGTCTTAGTAAATCCCTGCAGGTGACCGGTCCGCTTGGCTCAGGACTGTCACTACCACGTGAAGGCAGCATGCTCCCCTATGCTGGAGAAGTGACATGTTTTATGTGAAAAAAACAAACGTCTTCACTCGCATATTATGAAAACGGCGATGTCCGCCATGTTGTCGAAGCCCGCGCTTAGTTCTGTCGGTAGGGACAGGCCTCTCCATCATGGCCGCCGCCGCGGAGACACCGCGTGACATATAACTCGGCCTCTGTAGACGGAGCTCTCCCCAGTGCGTCTGTGGGACGACGTCGCCCACGAGGGGAGGTGTGGCGCGGGAACGAGGCCCCCTCCCCGAGTGCCGTGCGCATGCTCCGACCCTAAACACGTGGCCCGTGATCGGAGGGAGCAATGGCGGCGGCTGCAGCGGGCGGCGTGTACGAGGCGCTCCCCCCTCCCAGCGCCTTCACCCGGGAAGGAGAGACCTGCTGGCCGTGTCCGGCCTGGACGGGAGGATCACCGTGTGGGACAGCCGAGGAGGGGAGCTCTGCCGGGAGTACGTGCCCTCAGCCCACCTCTCCGCCACCTGTACCTGCCTGGCCTGGGGGGGCCTCAACCGGGGATCTGGGCAGGTGAGACCCCGCGTGTGTGTGTACGGAGGGAGGGGCGCGGTACCGATTACCGGGGGGGGAGACATCCACCGATCAGCACGGCGCCATGCGGGGGACACGTGTGTGGAGGGATCGCATCTTCCGCGACTGTCACCCTGTGTCCCCTCATCGCGTGTCATGGGAGATATGTTACATGTATGTCAGGGTGGTGGTCGCATGTTCTGGGTTACATTGTAATCACATCACCGATATCGTCATCCCATGTCGGGGGTCACACGGGGCACTGTATATGTATGTATAGATCACATGTTCCATGTTTGTTACATTGTAATATGTCAGCAATATAATTTCATCACATGTCATGGGGGGCATACATGGGACATGTTACATATGTCAGGATGGTGGTGGTCACATGTTCTGGGTTTGTAACATTGTGATCACGTCATGGGAGGGATACATGGGACACTGTATGTGTGTATATATATTTTTTGGGTGGTCACATGTTCTGTTATATTGTAATACTATATCACTGATATCAGCTCTCATGTCATGGGGGACATACAGTGGAGGATGGAAAGTTTGGGCCCCCCAGCTAAAAATGTGTATTAATGTGCATAAAGAAGCCAAGGAAAGATGGAAAAATCTCCAAAAGGCATCAAATTACAGATTAGACATTCTTATAATATGTCAACAAAAGTTAGATTTTATTTCCATCATTTACACTTTCAAAATAACAGGAAACAAAAAAATGGCGTCTGCAAAAGTTTGGGCCCCCTGCAGAGTTAATATCTTGTACTGCCCCCTTTGGCAAGTATCACGGCTTGTAAACGCTTTTTGTAGCCAGCCAAGAGTCTTCCAATTCTTGTTTGAGGTATCTTTGCCCATTCTTCCTTACAAAAGTCTTCCAGTTCTTTGAGATTTCTGGGCTGTCTGTCACGCACGGCTCTTTTAAGGTCTATCCATAGATTTTCAATGATGTTGAGGTCAGGAGATTGTGAAGGCCATGGCAAAACCTTCAGTTTACGCCTCTTGATGTAATCCCCCGTGGATTTCCAGGTGTGTTTAGGATCATTATCCATTTGTAGAAGCCATCCTCTCTTTAACTTCAGCTTTTTCACAGATGGCATCAAGTTACCATCCAAAATTTGCTGAAATTTTATTGAATCCATTTTTCCTTCTACTCGTGAGATGTTCCCTGTGCCACTGGCTGCAACACAACCCCAAAGCATGATTGATCCAACCCCATGCTTCACAGTTGGACAGAGGTTCTTTTCATTAAATTCTGTGCCCCTTCTTCTCCAAACGTACCTTTGCTCATTCCGGCCAAAAAGTTCAATTTGAACCTCATCGGTCCACAGAACTTGTTTCCAAAATGCATCAGGCTTGTCTATATGTTCATTTGCAAAGTTCAAACGATGATTTTTGTGGTGAGGACGTAGAAGAGGTTTTCTTCTGATGACTCTTCCATGAAGACCATATTTGTACAAGTATCTCTTTATAGTGGAATAGTGACCACAACTCCAGTGTCTGCCAGATCTTTCTGGAGGGATCGTGCAGTCAAACGTGGGTTTTGAATTGTTTTTCTCACAATCCTGCGAGCTGTTCTGTCTGATATTTTTCTTGGTCTTCCAGATCTTGCTTTAACTTCCACTGTTCCTGATGACTGCCATTTCTTAATGACATTCCGAACAGAGGATATTGACATCTGAAAACGCTTTGCTATCTTCTTATAGCCTTCTCCAGCTTTGTGAGCGTCAACTATTTTCAGTTTCAGTTTTCTAGACAACTGCTTAGAAGAACCCATGGTGCTGATTGTTGGGGCAAGGTCAGATGAGTCGGGGCATTTAAAACCTTTGAGATTGACATCACCTGGTCTTCCCAGACGATGATTGAGAACAATCCATGACACTGGCAGGTCTCAGCTTGGCAAAGGGGGCAGTGCATGCTATAAATTCTGCAGGGGGCCCAAACTTTTGCAGACGCCATTTTTTTGTTTTCTGTTATTTTGAAAGTGTAAATGATGGAAATAAAATCTAACTTTTGTTGACATATTATAAGAATGTCTAATCTGTAATTTGATGCCTTTTGGAGATTTTTCCATCTTTCCTTGGCTTCTTTATGCACATTAATACAAATTTTTAGCTGGGGTGCCCAAACTTTCCATCCCCACTGTACATGTAACATGCTCTGGGTTTGTTACATTGTAATCACATGTCATGGGGGACATACATGTAACATGTTCTGGGTTTGTAACATTGTAATCCCATGTCATGGGGGGACATACATGTAACATGTTCGGGTTTGTTACATTGTAATCGCATGTCATGGGGGACATACATGTAACATGTTCCGGGTTTGTTACATTGTAATCGCATGTCATGGGGGACATACATGTAACATGTTCCGGGTTTGTTACATTGTAATCGCATGTCATGGGGGACATACATGTAACATGCTCTGGGTTTGTTACATTGTAATCGCATGTCATGGGGGACATACATGTAACATGCTCTGGGTTTGTTACATTGTAATCGCATGTCATGGGGGACATACATGGGACACTGTATATGTGTGTATTTATAATATAGATCACATGTTCCGTGCTTGTCACATTGTAATATCACCAATATTTAGTTGCATGTTATACTAGGGGCTTGGTGCATGTATGTCAGGATAGTGGTCACATGTTCTGGGTTTGTTACATTGTAATATGTAACTTCTGTCATCTTATCAAGGGGGGGGCACACATGTTCTGTGATTGTAATACAGGTGATGGGAGGGACATGTTCATGGGTGCATACATGGGAATATATATATAGAGTGAGAGAAATATGAATATATGTGTCTTCTATGTTACATTGTAATAGGAAGTCATCACGGATCACACCGGTACATTGTCATAGGGGATCATACTTGGAGCATGTAACGTGTTTGTGAGGGTGGGGATCACATGTTCTGTGATTGTTACATAGTCATAATGTCATTCTGTCATCTCTGATCACATAGGATAATGCATGGTGGGGGGGCACTGTGTATATAGGGTGTAATCACATGTTTTGTGATTGTTACATTGTAATAAAGGCTGTAAAAGCATTTATTTCTCCTTCTCTCTGGCTGCATTCTTGCAGCCATTGAGAAATACTGTGAGAGCTGTGATTGGTCACAGCTTGTCACATGGTACAAGGCTGTTGTGAATGGCCCTGTGCCATGTGATCTCTGTGATCATTCACCGATTTCACACGTAGTAAGCAATGATGTCAGAAGTGACATCTTGCTTACTACTATTGTGATCACTGATTGGCCAATCAGTGATCACATGATCGGGATCTCACGCAGAGGTCCCGTACAGCGATCGGTGTTCTGCTGTGTTCGGAGGACCGGATTGCGGTGCCGCGCGCACACAGGCTGTGAATTTTCCGTTTCGGTCCAAGAATTTTCAGCTTGGTGCACCCCTAGTTTTTGCCACATTTTTATGTATTTTCCTTTTTTTTTTTTTTTTGCTAATAAACAGTTCTGTCCATGTAGTGCGACTTTAGACTCTCTGGCACTCTAGTATGAAAGTATTGCAGAAGTCAGCAGCTGATTGGCTCCCAGGCACAGCTGCGCCAGTCTTGGTAAATCTCCCCCAATGTCATCAATTTGATGCAAAACTGATCATTTGTGTCTTCCTCCCCCCACATCTGATGTTGCGTGACGTCGTGTTGTCATTTGTGATGTGGATGCGGCCCCCTATGATCACATGACATGTCGGTGTCAGGAGCGGAGCCTGCAACATGTCAGGATGTGGTCACGGCTCGGACCGTGCAGGTGGGGGGAGGGGTGAATGGTGTCAGAAGTCTCCCAGATGTGGTGTCTCAGTTCATTGCTCTGCACTGTGTGCAGCTTCCTTCAATCCCCCCCCCCCCCAACTGCATAGGTGTGAACCGAGCCTAATGTAGTTCTTGTGTTACTTTTTCTGAAGTTTTTGTTGTGATTTCACATACAGCGGATATAAAAAGTCTTCACACCCCTGTTAAAAATGTCAGGTTTCTGTGATGTCAATAAATGAGACAAAAGACACATAATATCAGAACTTTTTCCACCTTTAATGTGACCTGTAAACTGTACAACTCGGCTCAACAACAAACTGAAATCTTTTAGGAGGGGGAAGGGGGGTAAACATAAAAAACTAAAATGTGGTTGCATAAGTGTTCACACCCTCTTATAACTGGGGATGTGGCTGTGTTCAGAATGAAGCAATCATGTCACATAGGAGTCAGTACACACCCATCATTTAAAGTGCCTCTGATGAACCCCAAATAAAGTTCAGCTGGTCTAGTCGGTCTTTCCTGACATTTTCTTAGTCGCATCCTACAGCATGAGCCGCAGAGAGCTTCCAAAGCATCAGAGGGATCACATTGTTACAAGGTATCGGTCAGGAGAAGGAGGCAAAAGAGTTTCCAAGGCATTAGATATTCCATGGAACACAGTGAAGATCGTCATCGCCAAGTGGAGGAAATATGGCGCATCGGCATCGCCATCGGCCACCTCGCCATGAACTGGACGTCCCTCCAAAATGGATGAAAAGACGAGAAGTAGACTGGTCTGGGAGGCGGCCAAGAGGCCTACAGCAACATGAAAGGAGCTGCCGGAATATGTGGCCAGTCCTGGCTGTGTGGTCCATGTGACACCAATCTCCCGTGTTCTTCATATGTTGGGCTATGTATGGGGTGGAAGACGGAAGACTTTTCTTACCAAGAAAACCATCCAAGCCCGGCTACGTTCTGCAGAAACCCATCTGAAGTCTCCGGAAGCATGCGAGGAAATGTGTTCTGGTCTGATGGAACCAAGGTGGACCTTTCGGGCCTTAATTCCAAAAGATATGTTTGGTGCAGAACCAACGCTGCACCTCACCAAAAGAACTCCATACCCACTGTGAAGCATGGTGGTGGCAGGATCACGCTTTGGGGCTGTTTTTCTTCAGCTGGAACTGGGGCCTTAGTCGAGGTGGAGGGAATGATGAACAGGTCCAAATACGGGTCAATATCGGCACCAAACCTTCAGGCTTCATGAAGAGGAACTTCATCTTCCAGCATGACAACCACCCAAAGCATCCATCCAAATCCACAGAGGAACGGCTTCACCGGAAGAAGAGGAAAGTTCTGGAATGGCCCAGCCAGAGCCCAGACCTGAACCCGATGGAAGATCTGTGGGGGGATCTGAAGAGGGCTGTGCGAGAGATGACACGCAATCTGACGGATTTTGAAGATCGGGCAAATATTGCCGAGTCAGGATGTGCCGTGCTGATAGACTCCTCCCCAAAAAGACTGAGTGCCATCAAAAGGGGCTTGAACAAAGGGTCAGTGTAAGGGTGTGAACACTTATGCAACTAGATTATTTTAGTCTTTATATTTATACCCCCCCCCCCCCCCCCCCCCCCCCACCTAAAAGATTTCAGTTTGTTCAGCCGAGTTGTACAGTTTATAGGTCGCAGTACGCCCGGGTTCACACTGATGCAGTGCGGAATTTTCTGCATTTTCAGTGCGAATTCCACAACCGCATCAGGATCTGGCCTTGTTCATGCGCACCGCTGCGAGTGTGTGTGTTAAAACCCCGAAATCGGTGCGCAAAACGCGGTGCGACGTGCAGAATCGGATCGCATTGGGTGTGCATACCCATGCAATTTGATTCTAGTGCGGATCCAATAAAAGGCTCCTGTATCTTTTTGGTGCAAATAGAGCCAAACACACGTACGCTCCGATCGCACCGCACACGCATCACGTGATCTGCAGGGAATGCGGTTCCTGTGCCAATCGCATGCGATGCACCGCACGTACGTGAGCCCGGGCTATAGGTGGAAACGGTTCTGAAATGATTCTTCTTTGTCATTTTTTTTGACATCACAGAAACCTGACATTTTAACAGGGGCGTGAAGACTTTTTATATCCGCCCTACATAGAATATAATGGAAATCGCAAGAAAATCTTTACCAGTTGCAATAAAGTCTTCAGAATTTGCACCTGAAATTGCACACAAGTTGCAGCGGTGTGACTACTGGCATTAGGTGGAGGGATAACCAGCAGGGAGAACACAAATGAGTGACATTCTGACAAGGGGGGGGGGGGGGACTGGCTTGGTGTCACTGACATCTCCAGTGACACCAATAGTGATCAGTGCTAAAAAAAAAAAAAAAAAAAAAAAAAGCACTGTACTAATGGCACTGGGCAGGAAGGGGTTATTGTGAGGGGAGATCAAAGGGTTAACTGTGTGGTGGGAGTGTTTTACTTGGGGGCGGGTCTGTGTGCATCACTGTAAGCACACTGCTCGGGATGGCTGTGCTGTGCAGTGTGCCGGAGCTGACGTGGATGAGGACTGTTAGTAAACAAAACTGTCCTCCCCATCAAAGATCCTTGGTAATTACTGGCCGGGACCCAGTGATTGACAGCCGCGGCCGTGAATGGTGGCGCGGGTTAGGGCTCGTGTGCGCCCCCTACCTAGAAATGCAAAACCACATATATACACCTGATTTTGCCAATTCACACTCCATGCATTTTTCAGTTGCTTTTTTTTTTTTTTTTTTCTGCATCCAAAACGCACAGAAAGTCGGTGATAGGGTTGTCAGTGTCATCGTTCACATCAGCGCCTGCAGTTCTGGTTGCAGAAAAAAAAATAGAACAGGCGGCATTTTTCCTGCACAGAACTGCACTGGAGAGCACATGTCCCTATTTAAATTGGAGGGGGAAAATGTACTGGACCGCGCCAAAAAATGCACGTCCCTATTTAAACTGGAGAGAGAGAGAGGGGGGGGTAAGTGAAGCAGAAAGCATCAAAAACGCACTGGAACGCACATGTCCCTATTTAAACTGGAGAGAGGGGGGAAAAAGTGAACCAGAGCGCGTCACAAACGCACCAGAGCGCGTCACAAACGCACCAGAGCGCGTCACAAACGCACCAGGGCGCGTCACAAACGCACCAGGGCGCGTCACAAACGCACCAGGGCGCGTCACAAACGCACCAGGGCGCGTCACAAACGCACCAGCGGAAACTCCTCTGGGCTGCGTTTCTGTAGTGTGATCCAGCCCCTAATGGGCTGTACATGAAGGTGAGCTCACTGTGTAGACCGCATTCACACATTCTTCTGTCACTTTTTAGGAAAGTCATCAGAAAAAGAAGAGGAAATCGGAAGCGGCGAAGAAAGACGATCAGTACGACCTCCTCGGCATCGGCACGGCGACCGGCACCATATTATTGTACAGTGTTGTCAAAGGGGAACTACAGAGCAAATTGGTGAGTTCTTTTCTGCCCTCAAGTGTAGCTCAGCGGGCTGCGCCGCCTGTTACGGACTCCCACCAGGAGATGTCGCTGCGATCGCCGCTGCCCAGAGTGGAACGTGCGATTTAAAAAAAATAAAATAAAATTTGAACCCAAGGATAAAAATCTAATGAATTGCAGATTACTGGGTGGCTGCATTAGTTTTTGTTTTTTTTTCCCTGTTTAATAACGTTTCCATTAAATACAGACGAGGCCTGTCACTGGTTTAATTTACATTGTTCCGTCTCATTCTATTTGGGGATGACGGCTCTATAATTTTAATTAGGAAAAAATAAAAAATCTAATGGCCCTTTTTCCTAATTGAGCTACAGCTGTCCCATGACCTGGCTCTCTCCTAGCCTGTCTGCAAGGAAAACAGTGGGAGGAGGAGCTTCTAGCCCTCTGCCAGTCACATGTTCAAAATAAAAATTAAAAATTCTAAGTATCCTTTTCCTAATTGATATACAGATGTCCCATGACCTGGCTCTCTCCTGGCCTGTCTGCAGGGAAACAGTGGGAGGAGGAGCTTCTAGCCCTCTGCTGCTGGTCACCTGTTTTAAAATAATTTTTTTTTTTTTAAAAATCTACCTTTTTCCTAATTGATATACAGCTGTCCCATGACCTTGCTCTTTCCTGGCCTGTCTGCAGGAAAACAGTGGCAGGAGGAGCTTCTAGCCCTCTGCCGGTCACACACTTAAAATTTAATGACCCTTTTCCTAATTGATATACAGATGTCCCATGACCTGGCTCTCTCCCAGCCAGTCTGCAGGGAAACAGTGGCAGGAGGAGCTTCTAGCCCTCTGCTGCTGGTCACATGTTCGAAATAAAAAAAAAAAAAGTAAAATCTAAGTACCCTTTTCCTAATCGATATACAGCTGTCCCATGACCTGGCTCTCTCCCAGCCTGTCTGCAGGGAAACAGTGGGAGGAGGAGCTTTTAGCCCTCTGCTGCCTGTCATGTTGAAAAAAAAAAAAAAAAAATCAGCCTTTGGAATACAGAGTAAAAATATCGAACTGTTTTAAATTGTCATACAAATATATACTTGAAATCAAATCTTAATTTTTTGGCAACATTGTGTTGGGGTGGATTTCTGCCGGTCACCGGCTGTGTCTCAGAATACCATGGAGGTGAAGCCTCCACCAATTAATACGTAATATGTAATATCCCCCCCCCCCCCCCTCCTTCCCCATTGTGTTTAACTGATTAGTGGGTGTGGAGGGGGACGGAGGAGGTTGTCATCTGTGTATACGCCCACATGTGACTCACATGGACTTCTCAGATATGATGGGGAGGAATTGCTCAGCCGAGAAACTGAGCATGTGCAGAGCTGCCAACACTGCTCTGCACAATCCCCAACTGCAGCGGGGACAGGAGGGGGAGACAGAGAACAGGATCAACCAGGTTTTTTGCAGAATACAGGAAAGGAATCTCATGGTGGCTGAGCGACTATGGACACGTGGAATACATTTACCAATAATTTTTTCTGATTTTGAGTTTATACCGCTCTGTAAATGTGGGCGGAGTCAGTGTGGTCACTTGGGGGTCTCCGCTATCTACCTGCTCAGGGCTGCTACACCGTGCAGTCTCTGCCTGTTCCTGTGATAGCCAGATCATGGTGGGCAATACTGAGTCGGCCTGTCTGTGTGTGGCCTGCCGACATCAAACGTCCACAACATTATCCCGTGACCCAACCCCCCCCCCCCCCCCCCCCTCTGATTGTAGGACAGTGGAGAGATTATTTGCCGATCAATTTAAAGGGCTGTTTTTTTTCCCCCCCCCCCCCCCCCCCCTTCCAGGTTGGTGGCCATGATAACAGAGTAAACTGCATCAGGTGGCACCGGGACAACGGCTGTCTGTATAGTTGTTCAGAAGACAAACACATCATAGAATGGAACACACAGACCTGCAAAGTGAAATGGTGAGTGGATGACCGTGTGGGGGAGGGGGGGGGGGGATTTACTAAGACTGGAGCACTCAGAATCTGGTGCAGCCAATCAGCTTCCAACTTCAGCTTGTCCAATGAAGCTTTGACAATGAAACCTGGAAGCTGATTGGTTGCTGTGCAGAGCTGCACCAGATTTTACACCCTCCAGTTTTAGTAAATGGCCTTCAGTGTGTCCAAACCCCAGAAATGTCACCCATTGCAGCTTACCGGTCCCTCGATGTGGCGGCTGCATTAGTCTTCTGGTATTTTCACCTGCCAGTAACACACTTCTTGCCCTAGGGTGACAACACTCGCTGGTTCCACTGTGTCTATGGGTGGAGCGTTGTCAGCCTAGGACAAAATTACAAAGTAAATTCCCTCTCATTAAATATGGGGGGGGGGGGGGTAGTCCATAGAGAGAGCTGAAACAATGTAATAGAGTGCAGGAGTTCCTCAACTGATAGGATTTCCTGGCAGGCGCAACAATGCAACCATTATTATATTTACCAACAAAAGCAATTAAATATTCAGTTTGGGGTTTACATAGTCAAAGATCAGTCAGGTGTGTATTGGTGTCCTGAAGAGGGAGTAGACAGGAATATTGAGGCTCCCCTGCTGCCCCCACATGATATACTGCGGACCCCCCTGTACCTGGAGGAAGGGGGAGGAGATGATGGAGCGCTGTGATGACCAGAATTGGTTTCGCTTATTTCTGATTGAGAAATGGTGATTCTCTCTTGGCTGTCTGAGCGCCACGCCTTCACTTGTGGGAGGGTCTTCACTTGTGGGAGGGCCTTGTCCCTGCAGGAGAACACGGGAATCCATCCTTGTATCATACTAATCCTTCCTCTTAAAATCAACATCGTAACTCTTCCCTTCCTTTTTTTTTTTTTTTTTTTTTTTCTTCTCTCGCTTTCCCTTTTCTCTTCCCCCCCCTTTTTCCTTTTATCTCCCTTTTTTTCCCTTTTCGCTCCCTTTTTTTTTCCCTTTTTTCTTCTCTCCTTTTTTTTTCCCTTTTTTTCGCTCCCTTTTTTTCTCCCTTTTTTTTCCCCCTTTTTTTTCTCTCCCTTTTTTTTCTTCTCTCCCTTTTTTTTCTTCTTCTTCTTTTTTTTTTTTTTCTTTTTTTTTTCTTCCCTTTTTTTCCCCTTTTTTCTTCTTTTTTTTTTTTCCCCTTTTTTCTTCTTCTCTCCTTTTTTTTTTTTTTTTTTTCCCTTTTTTTTCTTCTCTCCCTTTTTTTTCCCCTTTTTTCTTCTTCTCTCCCTTTTTTTTTCCCTTTTTTCTTCTCTCCCTTTTTTTTTTCCCTTTTTAATTCTCTCCTTTTTTTTTTCCCTTTCTTCTTCTCTCCCCCTTTTTTTTCCCTTTCTTCTCTCCCTTTTTTTTTCTCCCTTTCTTCTTCTCTCCCTTTTTTTTTTTTCTCCCTTTTTTTCTTCTCTCCCTTTTTTTTTTCCCTTTTTTCTTCTCTCCTTTTTTTTTTTTTCCCTTTTTTCTTCTCTCCCTTTTTTTTTTTCCCTTTTTTCTTCTCTACCTTTTTTTTTTTCCCTTTTTTCTTCTCTACCTTTTTTTTTTTTCCCTTTTTTCTTCTCTACCTTTTTTTTTTTTCCCTTTTTCTTCTCTCCCTTTTTTTTCCCTTTTTTTCTTCTTCTCTCCCTTTTTTTCCCCTTTTTTCTTCTTCTCTCCCTTTTTTTCCTTTTATCCCCTTTTCTCTCCCTTTTTCTTTTTCCCTTTTTCCCCCTTTTTTTTTTCTCTCCCTTTTTCTCTCCCTTTTTTCTCTCCCTTTTTCTCTCCCTTTTTCTTCCCTTTTTCTCTCCCTTTTTCTCTCCCTTTTTTCTCTCCCTTTTTCTCTCCCTTTTTCTCTCCCTTTTTCTCTCCCTTTTTCTCTCCCTTTTTCTCTCCCTTTTTCTCTCCCTTTTTCTCTCCCTTTTTCTCTCCCTTTTTCTCTCCCTTTTTCTCTCCCTTTTTCTCTCCCTTTTTCTCTCCCTTTTTTTCCCTTTTTCCTCTTCTCCCCTCCCTCCCTTTTCCTCTCCTTTTTTTTTTTTTTTTTTTTTTTTTTTTTTTCCCCCCTGTATAGTAACTCTCTCTCTTCCTTTTGCAGCAAATGGAAAGGAGACAATGGCAGCGTCAGCTGTTTATGTATAAGTCCAGATGGAAAAATGTTGCTGTCTGCGGGGCCGGACGATCAAACTGTGGGACCTGGAAACCAAAAACCTCACCGCGGTAAGTCACTGACCCGAGTCCAGGGTGGGATGAGGGCGGCCGAGCAGTCGGAGCCCTTTGATCTTCAGCCTGTCGGGTCCCTGGAGCTGTGTGTCCGGCCCGGCGATGGAGCTCGTTCAGATGACTTGGCAGGCTGACTCTTGGCTGCTCCGGCTGTCTGCCGTCTCTCCGGCATTGGCCATGTATTGGTTCATTCGATTGAAAATCCGGTCACCTCTGTCAGTAAATGTGGTTGGAGTTGGTCTGGTGACTCGGTGGGGGAGGGTATGAGCTGTCTACCTGCTCAGGGCTGCTCCATGGTGCCGTCCCTGCCTGTTCCTATGACAGCTAGATCATTGCGGAGAATACTGAGTTGGTTTATCTTTGTGGTTCACCAATTTCCAACCTCCACTACATCCTCCGTGGACCTTCCTCCTCCCCATTACATCCTCCGTGGACCTTCCTCCTCCCCATTACATTCTCCGTGGACCTTCCTCCTCCCCATTACATCCTCCGTGGACCTTCCTCCTCCCCCATTACATCCTCCGTGGACCTTCCTCCTCCCCATTACATCCTCCGTGGACCTTCCTCCTCCCCATTACATCCTCCGTGGACCTTCCTCCTCCCCATTACATCCTCCGTGGACCTTCCTCCTCCCCATTACATCCTCTGTGGACCTTCCTCCTCCCCATTACATCCTCCGTGGACCTTCCTCCTCCCCATTACATCCTCCGTGGACCTTCCTCCTCCCCATTACATCCTCCGTGGACCTTCCTCCTCCCCATTACATCCTCCGTGGACCCTTCCTCCTCCCTCCCCATTACGTCCTCCGTGGACCCTTCCTCCTCCCTCCCCCATTACGTCCTCCGTGGACCCTTCCTCCTCCCTCCCCATTACGTCCTCCGTGGACCCTTCCTCCTCCCTCCCTCCCCGTTACGTCCTCCGTGGACCCTTCCTCCTCCCTCCCCGTTACGTCCTCCGTGGACCCTTCCTCCTCCCTCCCCGTTACGTCCTCCGTGGACCCTTCCTCCTCCCTCCCCGTTACGTCCTCCGTGGACCCTTCCTCCTCCCTCCGTGGACCCTTCCTCCTCCCTCCCCGTTACGTCCTCTGTAGACACCTCCCCCCCCGATGCATCTTTCATGGACCCCCACATTACATCCTCTATGGACCTTCCCTCTCCCCTACATCCTCCATGGACCCTCCTAAATATATTCCAGACCCCCCCCCCCCCGAAAATATATACTGATCCTCCGGGTCTGGTAGATGCCATGTGACTGATGCTAGGCCATTGGTCACGTGGTATCTATTGGGGGATCATGATAGACTGATGGGGGGCAGCAAAGGAGCCGGCTGTCTGCAGATGCCTTGGCCCTGGTCATGTGATCAGGGACCCGACTGATGCGGTTCGAGTCGATCGTTCAGACAAGTTGCCGTTTGCACTCGTAGTTGTCTCCTTTTGTTGAGCGTTGGCTGAAAATGTCGCGCGGGGAAAGCCGTCAGAAAAGATCGATTTCCGGTTGGAGTCGTCTCCAAGTTCATTGCTTATCTGTCTGTTTCAGCAATTCACCGGACATTCGTCGGCCGTCACATCCCTCATCTTCATCCGACCCCCGGGGGAGTCTCACTCATCCAGTGACACCATGGGCCTGCATTTCCTGTCCGGAGCGGTACATGACCGCTTAATCAGTGTGTGGTAAGCTGGCTGAATCATCTCTGGTTGGGGGGGGGGGGGGGGGGGGGGGTTGGCTTAATTCAGATTTTTGCATAGGAACTACAATGTGTAAAGTTTCAGCTGACCGCGTGCTGCGAGACGCAGGGACCGGATATATGTCCTGTACAGTACAAGTGTTCTGCTGCGGGGCAAAGTCTGAGTCTGGAGCTGCAAGGAACCTCTATTGGTGTGTCTGCACTGTTGGACTTGTGTGATGCGGCGGCTTCTGGTATTAACCCTTACAGGAGTTGTAGGTATAATGACTCCGTCATGTAGATCCTGGTGCCTGTGCAGTTCTTGGCTGTGTTCACAGATGTCTGACACAGATCATCCCCTGCTGCACCCTATCACCTTGTGCCTTGCTGCAAAGTTACAATGTACAGTCTGATCACCGAGGGAGGGGAGACTGAGGAAATGCTTCCTCCTCCTTCTACAAAGTTACAATGTACAGCCTGATCACTGGGGAGTGGAGACTGAGGAAATGCTTCCTCCTACAAAGTTACAATGTACAGCCTGATCACTGGGGGAGGGGAGACTGTAGAAGGAGGCGGCGGCATTTCCTCAATCTCCCCTCCCCCAGTGATTAGACTGTACATTGTAACTTTGTAGAAGGAGGAGGAGGTGGCATTTCCTCAGTTACTGTACAGTCTGATCACTGGGGGAGGAGACTGAGGAATTGCCTCCTCCTCCTTCTCCAAAGTTACAATGTACAGTCTGATCAATGGGGGAGGAGACTGAGGAAATGCTTCCTCCTGCCTGATACAAAGTTTCAATGTACAGTCTGATCACTGGGGGAGGGGAGACTGTAACTTTATAGGAGGAAGCATTTTCTCAGTCTCCCCTCCCCCAGTGATCAGACTGTACAGTGTAACTTTGTAGGAGGAAGCATTTCCTCACTGTACAGTCTGATCGCCGGGGGAGGGGAGACTGAGGAAATGCTGTAGATGTGTGTGTGCTGCTGCCGTACCTGACAGCCCCTAGTACCCCCTGGGGTTCAGCTTAAAAGGTGGTTTTCCTTTCATGTAGAGTAGAGCTGAGGTTACAGATCAAGGTTTGTCCAATGGGAGCTTTTGATTTTCCTTGAGCTGCAGCGCTTGTGGGAGGGGGAGGGGAGTCGCAGCGCTTGTGGGAGGGGAGTCGCAGCGCTTGTGGGAGGGGAGTCGCAGCGTTTGTGGGAGGGGAGTCGCAGCGTTTGTGGGAGGGGGTCGCAGCGTAGTACCGGTGTGTGCGGTGATGATATCCGAAAATGTGGTTTCAAATCTCTGAATCCAGTGAAGACATTTCCTTGGCTGTGTCTGAGCACCACCCGCCCCCCGCTGCTGTGCGCCTCCATGTTGTCTGTAATTCCGAGTCCCCATCGGATAACATGCAGCACTCGCCACGTCCGCTGCTCGGGGTTGTCATCCGAAGGTGAAGTATTCTGCTCATAAGACTGTTGGGGTTTGTGTAGCGTTCAGCCTGTAAAACGTGCGATTTGTGTTCTAGGCAGGTCCGGGCTGACAAAGAGAAGGACGCGGTTCTGTCCTTCACACTCTCAGAATCTCCCGTGGCCATAGACCTGGCGCCCTCCATCAGCAAAGACGAGGTAAGACGTGATGGTATCTCTACACCCCGATTCTTCCATTCCTGGGGGGGGGGGGGGGCGGCTATCTGCCTTCTCAGGGCTGCTACAATGCTTGTACTCGAGATGGCTAGAATGAGGTGGACAGTTTCTGCTTGTACTCAAGAGGGGGGGGCCCGGGCTGGGTGGCCCGCGGTGGGAAGGGGTGGCCCCGGTGGGAAGGGGTGGCCCGCGGTGGGAAGGGGTGGCCCGCAGTCGGGAAGGGGTGGCCCCGCAGTCGATTCTGTCTCCACATACTAGATCAGATTCCACCATAGCCCCAAGAGCCGGCTTATGCAAATGATAAAATAATTTCCATTCCTGTTAAAAGACTTGAACCTACAGGAAGGTCCTAGTCTAATGTGGAACACAATAGACCCATCACCCACTTCACCAAGGAAAAGCTCTGTTGGACCTTCCCCAAAAGTTAACAATGTCCTAACACGACTGGACCATGCAGTGCAATGGCCCCCAAAGCCTTTTGGGTGGACTGACCCCACCTAATGGTTTGTTGGGTCTCCTGGGCCATGCCGCTTTTGGATTGGATGTATATCTGAGAACTGTAGACTGCGTGATTTATTTCAGGTACTTATATGGTGCTGTCAGTTTACGCAGCGCTTTACATATATATTGTAGATTCACATCAGTCCCCGCCCCCGAGGAGCGTACAATCTAAGGTTCCTAATTCACATTCATACATACACATACTAGGGCCAATTTAGACAGGTTCCAATTCACCTCCCAGCTTGTCTTTTGGAGTGTTGGAGGAAACCTGCACAGGGAGAACATGCAAACTCCATGCAGGTGGTGCCGTGGTTGGGATTTAAACCAACGACCCCGAGTACTGCCAGGAGGAAGTGCTAACCATTTAGCCGTTGTGCTGCCCAGGTTATGATATTAACCACTTGCCTACCAGGCACTTATACCCCCTTCCTTACCAGGCCAATTTTCAGCTTTCAGCGCTGCCGCACTTTGACAATTGCGCGGTCATGCAACATTGTACCCATATGAAATTTTGATCATATTTTTCTCACAAATAGAGCTTCCTTTTGGTGGTATTTAATTGCCACTGGGCGCTTTACTTTTTGCGCTATAAATAAAAAAAGTGCAAAAAATTTGAAAAAAAAGTTTCTTTGTTTCTATTATAAAATTTTTCAAACAGGTAATTTTTCTCCTTCACTGATTGGCACTGATAGGCAGCACTAAAGGGCACTGATAGGCAGTACTAATGAGGTGGCACGGATAGGCGGCACTAATATGCAGCACTGATAGGCGGCACTGATAGGTGACACTGATGATGGGTACTGATAGACGGCACTGCTGGGCACTGACTGGCGGCACTGACTGGCACAACCGCCTGGACACTGACTGGTGGCACAGGTGGGTGCCGCTGCTGGGCACAGGTGGGTGCCGCTGCTGGGCACAGGTGGGTGCCGCTGCTGGGCACAGGTGGGTGCCGCTGCTGGGCACAGGTGGGTGCAGCTAGTGGGCGCACTGCTGGGCACAGGTGGGTGGAGCTAGTGGGCGCACTGCTGGGCACAGGTGGGTGGAGCTAGTGGGCGCACTGCTGGGCACAGGTGGGCGGAACTTGCGGGTGCCACTGCTGGGCACCGATCATCAGGGCACTGATCATCAGTGCCCTGATGATCGGTGCCGATCCCCGCTCTGACAACTGCCGGTTCTCGGCAGTACTTTCCTCATGATCTGACAGCGTGCAGCCGAGAACTGGCACTTGCATTTCCCTCTGATCAGCGTGTCATTGGACACCGCTGATCACGTGGTAAAAGGCCGCTGTGATTGGCCTTTTACCACATCACGTATATCTGACTTTGTTCCATCGATCTCCTCCTGCAGCCTCTGAAGCTGGCCGTGGTGTGCAAGGACGGACAGATGCACTTATTCCAGCACGTGTTGAATGGGTAAGATACATGTTGGAGAGAGTATAGAGGTGACTTTACCCCCTATATACCTTTTACATAGAAAGGAACGCGTGTTCCAGTGTTCTACAGAATCAGACTTAAAGCCCAACTCCAGGAAATGTGAACATTTGCAGTGGGACGGTGCCAGCACTACAAGGGGTAATCGCACATGTAGGTATAGGGGTAATCGCACATGTAGGTATAGGGGTAATTGCACATGTAGGTATAGGGGTAATTGCACATGTAGGTATAGGGGTAATCGCACATGTAGGTATAGGGGTAATTGCACATGTAGGTATAGGGGTAATCGCACATGTAGGTATAGGGGTAATTGCACATGTAGGTATAGGGGTAATCGCACATGTAGGTATAGGGGTAATCGCACATGTAGGTATAGGGGTAATCGCACATGTAGGTATAGGGGACTTGTTAAAGGATCCTCAAGGATTACTTGATCCTCCATGCTGCTAGACTGGTCCCCATAGTGTTTTCTCCCTCATTCTCCTGTGGTTTGAGGTCCTGGAGTCCATAGTCCTGCACAGCGGCGGGCTGACAACTCATGGGGCCCCCAGGCAATAGGGGATCATGGGGCCCCTGTGTCCTCACCCACACTCAAACCACACCCAAAAAAACCCTATGAAGGTTACCAGGGGCATCTCATGGGGCCCCCTACTGACCCTGGGCCGTCTGGCAGAGCCCGAGTACCCCAATGGTCAGTCCACCCCTGATCCTGCATTGGATGTGGTGATGCCAAGGGACAGTCCACCATTGGAGTATGGACCGGCACTAACGTTCTAGGTCAAGGTGAACCCTGCAGTGATGGAGCCGTTTGAGGAACGATGTCGCAGCGGGCGTAGTACCGGTGTGTGCGGTGATGATATCCAAAAATGTGGTTTCAAATCTCTGAATCCAGTGAAGACATTTCCTTGGCTGTGTCTGAGCACCACCCGTCCCCCGCTGCTGTCCGCCTCCATATCTGCCGGTAATATGGTCACTGTCGGGTAACGTGTCTCTGCAACTTTCACTACGAGTTACCTGAATGGAAAGTTGAATGTTTGTAGTGTTTGTCTTTTAGACAACCCCAAAAATCCAACCAGATCAAACCGTAGGAAAAAACAGACATCCTATGGGACTGCAAAACTGCCTGAAGCAGGTCCTTGAGGGAGGTCGTCGGGTCCAGGAGGGGGAGGTCTGCGGGTCGGGTCCAGGAGGGGGAGGTCTGCGGGGTCGGGTCCAGGGGGGGGAGGTCTGCGGGTCGGGTCCAGGAGGGGGAGGTCTGCGGGTCGGGTCCAGGAGGGGGAGGTCTGCGGGTCGGGTCCAGGAGGGGGAGGTCTGCGGGTCGGGTCCAGGAGGGGGAGGGATGGTCGGGTCCAGGAGGGGGAGAGGGATGGAGGAGGGGGGGAGAGGGATGGGCGGAGGGGGGGGAGAGGGATATGGGCGGAGGGGGGGAGAGTTAAGGGATATGGGCGGGGGGGGGGAGAGGGATATGGGCGGAGGGGGGGGAGAGGGATATGGGCGGAGGGGGGGAGAGGGTGATGGGCGGAGGGGGGGGAGGGGGGGGAGGGGGGGGGTGATGGGCGGAGGGGGGGAGAGGGTGATGGGCGGAGGGGGGGGAGAGGGTGATGGGCGGAGGGGGGGGAGAGGGTGATGGATGGAGGGAGAGATCGGATGGATGGAGGGGAGAGATGGATGGAGGGAGAGATGGATGGGAGGGAGAGATGGATGGAGGGAGAGATGGATGGAGGGAGAGATGGATGGAGGGAGAGATGGATGGAGGGAGAGATGGATGGAGGGAGAGATGGATGGAGGGAGAGATGGATGGAGAGGGAGGGGAGAGAGGGAGTAATGGATGGAGGGAGGGTGTGGATGGATGGAGGGAGGGAGTGATGGATGGATGGAGGAGGGAGTGATGGATGGATTGGAGGAGGGAGGGGAGTGATGGATGGGGGGAGGGAGTGATGGATGGATGGAGGGAGGGGAGGAGTGATGGATGGATGGAGGGAGGGAGTGATGGATGAGGGGAGGGAGAGGGAGGGAGTGATGGATGGAGGGTGAGAGAGGGATGGAGTGATGGATGGAGAGAGAGGGAGAGAGATGGATGGAGGGGGAGTGGAGGAGGGTGACGGGGGAGAGGGAGGGGATGGATGGGCGAGTAGATGGATGGAGGGATAAAAATGTTTATGGATTCTAAGCCATTCTAGAAAAAAATTTTACATTTTTACTTGTAAGCAAAAAAGTGTATCTGCCCGATCTTCAAGTGGTTAATTCCCGGACTTGTCTGTTATTTGCAGGAATCACAAGAAGCCGGTGGCTCCCACCAGTACAGTACAGATAGCCACGTCAGGCAGTGATGAAAGCTCCACACCAAAGCCGGTTCCCATTCTCTCTGCTGCCATTTACCCGGATGGAGAATCTATATTACTTTACTATGGCAGCACCATGCAGCCTGTCATTGAGAAAGTGGTATGTCACCTGTCCGTGTATATATGTATATGTGTGTAGACCTTTTTTTTTTTTTTTTTTTTTTTTTTTGGTCGGTAAATATACCAATAAAAGAATAAATTCTTTTATTGGTATATTTACCGACCAAAAGGGACATTTTATTGTCAGGGTTAACATGCATTATATTGGTTGAATGGACCCTTTCCAGATTGCAGCGTTCACATGACATTGTAATGGTGTGGCTGGATGTTGGGGCCCAGACTATGTTGGTCTCCCATTGCATTGCACAACATTTACATATTTTTTGTATTGCCGTGTCTTGTGCTCCTTATTGCTCTCTCTGTCCAGATCATCTGTTTTGTCTGCTACTTGGCTACATGGAACTAGAATCTGAACCGCTTTGAGGCGCCATTAGGACATGACAGTAACTCTTTCTTGGTTTCTCTCAAGGCCCTGCGAACAGACGAACGCCATGTTTGCTTGGTACGTGACACCCACAAGTCGGTGTCGCTTAGAAAAGAAGTCGCCGTAACCAAGGTAAGTCCAGCGATGTCGCTCTTCAGTCACCTGTCGATGAGAATCGTATACATCTGTAGAAAGCTGACCGCGTCTTAGCAATGGATTGACCGATGGTAACCCCTGGCCAACTGCCATTTTCAGTGTAATCCTGCAGGGTTTCCTGGTTGCCAATGCAGACTTCACTTTTGGGGACGGAGATTAATGACCTGCTTCTAATGTTTGGGGGGGGCGGCGCCTTTTAAGAGCGGTCTACTGTGATGACGAGCAGAGAACGGTTTCGCAAAGTCCTGAATTTCAGTGATGTCGTCATCTCTTGGCTGTCTGAGCTGACGCTCTGAAGGTGGTGATTGGCAGAGAACGTGGGAGGGGGCAGGGATTCAGCTGATTGTGGCACAGGGTGCAGCGTGTATTGCCCGGTTGGGCATTTTCATGCCAATGTAGAGGGTTTTCATGGGGGGGGGGGGGGGGGGGGAGTTTCCAATGACCCTCTGCGGGAAATGCAAAAACCCTTTTTCTAATTTTCATCTTTGGTTAAACACTTCCAAACCAATTCTGGCATTTCTCACTTGTAAAAAATCACATTTTTTTTCTTTTCTCTAGAAAATTATAGGACCTCCAAACCTATATTTTTATATATATATATATATATATATATATATATATATATATATATATATAAATATAAATTTTTTTTTTTTTTTAAGCGGAGGGCCCTGGGGAATAAAATGAAGTGTGTTGCAATTTTTGTCAAATTTTCTATTTGCACAGTGGTTTTTCAAATTTTGCGGGGAAAAGTATTTAAATTAATTAATTAATTATTATTAATTTTAATGCACAAAACACAATATAATACAGGCAGTCCCCGGGTGACAAGATGGTTTTTGCAGGTTTGTACTGAATTTGAATTTGTATGCAAGTTGGAACAGTTGTGTGTGTGTGTATATAGATAGATATAGAGATAGATAGATATAGAGATATAGATATATATATATATATATAAATATAGATATAGATATGTATGTGTATATATATAATATATATATATATATATATTACACTGTATATAAAAAAATAAATATATGTTATATAAATATATATTTTTTTTATATATATACTGTGTGCGTATATATTAATAAATATATGTAATATAATATATATTTATTTATTATATTTATTTTATTATATATTTATATATTTTATTATATATTTAAAAAAAAAAAATATATATATATATATATATATATATATATATATATATATATATATATATATCTATATATGTGTATATATATTATACTTTTTTTTTTTTTTTTTGTATTTTTTGTCCCTATATAAGATAAGGCAATTGGTAGTTTCAGGAAATAGTTATTGTTGAATAAACAGGCCCACGGTAGGAGTGTGAAAACGGTTGTGCCCCGTAGGGGGCGTACAGCGGAGATCGAACTTTAATATGTACTTTTTTTTTTTTTCGTGGTTTTTTTTTTTTTTAAATCTAGATAAAAACGCCTGTTGTCCATAAAGACACAAATGTCCTGGTCCCTGGAGCTCCGGGGCACAGTGCTGCTCTATCGGTAACACCTCGGTCTCAGAAGCGGGATGGGAAGCGGAAACCTGATGACAAGGAGGTAAGTGCAGTTTTAAGGTTCCCGGTTCCATAAGCGTCCCGGAACGTTGTCTGTCTTGGTGTCGCCAGTGGCCGGTCTGTTGGAATTAGAGCAGTCGGGATAGAAGGGTGTCGCGCGCTGGTTTGGGCTCAATCAGTGTAGTATTGCGCACGCGGTCCACTTTACTGTCCTGCTGTGATGACTCCAGTCTGGTTTCGCTTGTGTCAGAGAAAGAGTGAAGACATCTCTTGGCTGTCTGAGTGGGACAATGGGAAGGACATTGATTATGGAACTTGTGGCTCGTTGATGCCTGGGTGCTCGGATACATTTTAGCAGCCTCTGTATACTTCGGTTTACGTGTTATTTTTTATTTATAGCCAGCTAGAGCTTTGCATATTCCCTGCTGAGGTGTGTGTTGGACCTCTTCAGAGAGACCACTGTTTCCACAGAGCCAGGGTCCCTCCATTGAACCATGCTGGCAGGGGACAGGCTTTCCTACTCAGGCTGTGGCTGCTTTCTGGAGGATCTATAGGACTTAATGGGCGGGTGATATTAAAGGCAGATTAAAAAAAAAATAAAAATGTCTTACCTGCTCTGTAATGGTTTTTGCACAGAGCAGCCCTGATCCTCCTCTTCTCGGGTCCCCCCCCCCCGGCGCTGTTGGCCCCTCCATTCTGCCAATTACCCCCACAACAAGCAGCGTACTATGGGGGCTCCTGAGCTGCTGCTGTGTGTGTCCATTCACCCACTAGCGCGGCTCGGCTCCACCTTCATTGGCTCACTGGCTGATTAACTGGCTCTTACTACTGTCTCAGCTAATGAGGAGGAAGAGTCCCTGGGACAGCCGAGGCTCTCGGGCACATCGCTGGATCGAGAGGGAGGGGGGGTCAGGTAAGTATTGGGGGGGGCTGCTGCACACAGGTGGTTTACCTTCACACTTAGAGTGCATGAAGGTAAAAAGAACTTGAGACTTTATAACCACTTTAAATACAGATAATGTTGTGTTTTCATTAGCTAACCCATTGCACTCTGGGAATTCTCTGTCATCTGAGGGTTTTTTTGTTTTCCCTTATATATAGAATAAAACCCACATAAACAGTTTAACATAAAATGGACTAAAGTTTTTCGAAACTCAAAAAAAGGAAAAAAAAAAAAAGTCCCACTACTTGTCCTACCCACCCCCATCCACTTACCTGACTCCTGTCACTGTTCAGGGCTGTCTAAGCTGCAGCACTCCCCCTACACTTAGGGGTTTCGCGGGAGACGATGAGGGTAGTAGTCATAAGCTGCTGTCAGACCCCTGTAAGGAGAGAGCGGGGACATGGCTTACCAGCGCTGTGTATGTCTATGGACACGCACAGCTTGGGAGCGCACATGCATGTGTGCCTCTTTTTTAACAAACGGCTTGCTAATTGGGCACCTGGAGGAATGAACGGACAGTACGAGACCGCCAGAAGAGGCGGTAAGGGACCGCTTCGTGCAAAATCGTTTCACAGAGCAAGTATCACACAAAAAATTGTGCTTTTAGTATCATTTTAAAACCACCTGTTTAGTTCACCACCTTGGGTAGGATGAAACGATTGGATTATTATTGGTGTTCTTTCTTGATTCCGAGTACTGACATCCTTCAGTGCTGGTCACATGACTGCCAAGGCCCAAATATTAATTGTGTGCCTAGCTATGTGCTTGGTGTACACTAGGGTGGTGCTTTTTACTAGGGAAAGTGATGGATCGTGTTCCCAGCTCTACAGAGAGAAAACGATTTGTGACTCCTCTGTCGCAACAGAACTGTGTAAACAAAGACGCAGGTCTGTTCTGCCTTCCTGACAATCTGCAGATGCCGGCGATCAACTCCTTCCTGCGACTTGTAGATCGGTTAGCACTGTGACATTTCACAGCGTGTGCTCGTGCCCCCCTGTAGCGGAAGTGTGTGTGTAATATATATATATATATATATATATATATATATATATATATACATACATACATACACACATCATATATATCGCACGCGCGCGCATATACATACACACACACGATTTTCCACAGGAATGCCGCTCTGTAGCAGTAAAAAAAAAAAAAAACGCTTACTATGTACCTCTTGCTATGGGGTGTAAATATTGACTAACGGGACAAATACATTCTTCTTCCCCCTCCTCCCTTCCTCCCTCCCCCTCCCCCCTCCTCCCCCTCCCCCCTCCTCCTCCCCCTCCTCCCCCTCCTCCCCCCTCCTCCCCCCCCCCCCCTCCTCCCCCCCCCCCTCCTCCGTCCCCCCCCCCCCCCCCTCCTCCCCCTCCTCCTCCCCCCCCCCCCCTCCCCCCTCCTCCTCCTCCCCCCCCTCCTCCTCCTCCCTCCTCCTCCTCCCTCTCCCCCTTTCCTCCTAGGCCACTATCGAGGAGCGGCTTGGTGCTATGGATATCGACCATCCCAAAGTGAAGAGTAAAAGGGGACTGCCTCAGGCGGACAACTTCGCAGTGCTGCTGGTGCAGGGGTTGGAAAGCAGTGACCCCCATATATTAAATGTGAGTGATTGGTGGAGGGACCGGTCCCCGTTGTAGTGTACAGTCCCCCTTGTATGGTCCGTTCCGTGTAATGACCGTCCTGTCCTCTGCCCTTTCATAGAAAGTATTGCAGACCACCAAAGACTCCTTCATAAAGAATACGGTGTTGCGGATACCGGTGTACGCTGTCATACCGCTAATACACGAGGTAAGAACTTTTCCCAGATTCCTGACCTTTAACCCTTTTGCTGCCGGGGCCGAGGGATCATGGGACATCCCCCCCACTGCTTGTGAAAGCCATCGAGCGGCTATTTAGCCAATCCGATTGCTTTTACAAGAGAGTTGACCTCCGGCTATAACTGATGTCGGCACAGAGAGGTCTCCATGCGGGAAGCATCTTTGCAGCCTCTTGGCTCACCCACCCACCTGGAAGCTGCATATGAACACAAAGAAAAACCCAAAAAAATAAATTTTCGATCGCAGCGATACCATATATGTTTACGGGCAGCACAGCGGCTAAATGGTTAGCACTTCTTCCTGGCAGTACTCGGGTCGTTGGTTCTAATCCCAAAACCACGGCACCACCTGCCTGGAGTTTGCATGTTCTCCCTGTGCCTGCGTGTGTTTGCTCCGGGTACTCCGGTTTCCTCCCACACTCTCCAAATACATGCTGGGGAGGTGAATTGGCTCCGGTCTAAATTGGTCCTAGTATGTGTATGTATGAATGTGAGTTAGGGACCTTAGATTGTACGCTCCTCGGGGGCGGGGACTGATGGGAATGCGAGAGCTATATAGATAGATATATATATTTATAGTGCTGCGATATATAAGTACCTGAAATAAATATGAGTACGGGCGAGAACAGGTGATGGGTCCCGTTAGACATCTGGGCACTGAAAAGCGGCATGCTTCATAAAAGGTCCTAGAAACACAAACCATAAAGTGTATCTGTCACATAAACAGCGACTGATGTTTGGCTCCCTCTTCATTCATAAGTACAGATGTTTGTGCAGCTTATTATTATTATACAGTATTTATAAAGGGCCGATAGTTCGCTCAGCGCTGTACATTACAGAGGGGGACAGAACATGTGACAGAACAATACCAATACAATGTGATACATGAGGGGGTCGAGGGCCCTGATCCTTGGAGCTTACAATCTAGGAGGGAGGGGATAGTGGTACAGGAGGAGATAGCTGTGGGGGATGGGGTGGTAGGAAGAGTGGAGGAGGTCGGCAGGTTAGCAGGGGGTGGGGTAGGCTTCCCTAAAGAGATGGGTTTTCAGGGTGCGCCTAAAGGAGAGGAGAGTAGGTGATAGTCTGATGGATTGGGGTAGGGAGTTCCAGAGGATGGGTGACATCCTGGAGGCGGGCATGGGAGGAGGAGACCAGGGAACTAGAGAGAAGGAGGTCTTGTGAGGAGCGGAGTGTGCGTGTTGGGCGGTACTTGGATATTAGGTCAGTGATGTAGTTCGGGGCAGTATGGTGGACGGCTTTGTACGTCAGTGTTAGGATTTTGAATTTGATCCATTGCGCAATCGGAAGCCAGTGGAGGGATTGGCAGAGGGGGGTGGAGGAGATGACGCGGTTGGAAAGGTTATTGATATCAAATCCTTGTTTTTCAGCTCACAAAAAGATTACAAGGACATCCGACCAGGTAAGGACTTCGTGATTTGTGTTGGAACCTTTTCCTAGTTTGAATTGTGTTTTGGTTTTCACAGAGAAATAGAATCCATTATTTAACCCCTCGCTTACCGGGCACTTCTACCCCCTTCCTGCCTACCGGGCACTTCTACCCCCTTCCTGCCTACCGGGCACTTCTACCCCCTTCCTGCCTACCTGGCACTTCTACACCCTTCCTGCCTACAGGGCACTTCTACCCCCTTCCTGCCTACCGGGCACTTCTACCCCCTTCCTGCCTACCGGGCACTTCTACCCCCTTCCTGCCTACAGGGCGCTTCTACCCCCTTCCTGCCTACCGGGCGCTTCTACCCTCTTCCTGCCTACCGGACACTTCTACCCCCTTCCTGCCTACAGGGCACTTCTACCCCCTTCCTGCCTACAGGGCACTTCTACACCCTTCCTGCCTACCGGGCACTTCTACCCCCTTCCTGCCTACCGGGCACTTCTACCCCCTTCCTGCCTACAGGGCGCTTCTACCCCCTTCCTGCCTACCGGGCGCTTCTACCCTCTTCCTGCCTACCGGACACTTCTACCCCCTTCCTGCCTACAGGGCACTTCTACCCCCTTCCTGCCTACAGGGCACTTCTACACCCTTCCTGCCTACCGGGCACTTCTACCCCCTTCCTGCCTACCGGGCACTTCTACCCCCTTCCTGCCTACAGGGCACTTCTACCCCCTTCCTGCCTACCGGGCGCTTCTACCCCCTTCCTGCCTACCGGGCGCTTCTACCCCCTTCCTGCCTACCGGGCGCTTCTACCCCCTTCCTGCCTACCGGGCGCTTCTACCCTCTTCCTGCCTACCGGGCGCTTCTACCCTCTTCCTGCCTACCGGACACTTCTACCCCCTTCCTGCCTACCGGGGCGCTTGTACCCCTTTCCTTCCCAGGCCAATTTTTCAGCTTTCAGCACTGTCGCACTTTGACAATTGTGCGGTCATGCAACGCTGTACCCATATAAAATTAAAAGAAAAATTTTTTGGGGACGGCTTTCTTTTGGTGGTATTTAATCACCTCGGGGTTTTTATTTTTTGCTAAACAAACCAAAAACTGTAAATTTTGAAGAAAAAAATTTTCTTAGTTTTTGTTTTAAAATTTTGTAAATAAGTGATATTTCTCCTTCACTGATGTGTACTAATGAGGCTGCACTGGTAGGCTGCACTGGTAGGCTGCACTGGTAGGCTGCACTGGTAGGCTGCACTGGTAGGCTGCACTGGTAGGCTGCACTGGTAGGCTGCACTGGTAGGCGGCCATCATATATGGCACTGGTAGGCGGCCATCATATATGGCACTGGTAGGCGGCCATCATATATGGCACTGGTAGGCGGCCATCATATATGGCACTGGTAGGCGGCCATCATATATGGCACTGGTAGGCGGCCATCATATATGGCACTGGTAGGCGGCCATCATATATGGCACTGGTAGGCGGCACAGACTGGCGGCTCAGATGAACACTGATAGGCGGCATTGATGGACACTGATAGGCGGCATTGATGGACACTGATAGGCGGCATTGATGGACACTGACAAGTGGCACTGCTGGGGCTACACTGATCATCAGTGTACATGTCCCCTCTGAGGAATGCCTCTGCTCTCCTCTCCTCTGTCAGCGTGACGGCATTTCCCTATTTACATGTGATCAGCTGTGATTGGACACAGCTGATCACATGACCGAGTTGAAATCTTTGGCTCTTTCTGTTGATCGGTGATCCACTGTGTCCGAGGGACACAGCACACTACCCTATCGCCGCGCTCCCGGAGCCGCGCATGCTGGGTTAGAGTGGGAGGGCGTCATATGATCTCCCAGAACGAGAGAGAACCGCCTTACGCCCGTCATTGCCGTATATTTATAACCAGCCCCCCTCCCCTGCACTGCCACCGTCCGGCTCTTTATGTACATGGGCCGGATGGGAAGTGGTTAATTTAATGTTCCCAAAAAATTACAAATTCAAAAAACTCGCCATGACTCTTAATAAATACCTCGGGCTATCTACTTTCCAAAAAATGGTCATTTTGGGGGTGGGGGGGGGTTTGTACTGTCCTGGCGTTTGGGGGGTGATTTTTACTGTCCTAGTGTTAGTACTTCAGGACTGATCAATTTTCACATTTATATCCCATAGTTTGTGAACTCTCTAACTTTCTTACAGGCTGAATATTAAACACTGATTTGGGTTACTTTCATCAACAGAAATGAAGAAAAACATTTTTTTTTTTTTTTTTCAAAATTTTTTTATTTTGTTTAGCAAAGAAGTAAAAAAAACCCCAGTGGTGATTAACGACCACCAAAAGAGCTTTATTTGTGTGGAAAAGTGTTCTAAATGTCCTATGGCTACGGTGTTGCATGACCGCGCGCAATTGTCATTCAAGGGTGTGACAGCGCTGAAGGGGTGGCTGGTGTAGAAGTGGTCAATGGCCATGACTCTGGAATGGGATGTGGGGACACAACCACGCCGCTTTATACATTTTCCTGTATTTGGTTACATTTCTGCTTTTATTTGAATGGGTTGTCGGGGGTCACAAGCTGCAGACCTTCACCTGACGTCCAATCAGCCATAAGGAAACCGCTACACCGCGTTCCTAATAATGCAAATTCTATTTAAGTGTCACAAAGATGAAATGTTTAGTTTTTCAGTGTAACTCATGGATGGCATTGTGTGTCAGGGCTCTTTTGATCTGGGACACCTGTGATAATTAGATTGGCCGGTGAGACCAATTGAAGGACAAACTCCTAAAGGACGGCGTTCCACATTATTAAGCAGAGCGCCATTTTCCAGCAATATGGGGAAGAAAAAGGATCTCTCTGCTACGGAAAAGAGTGGAATAGTTCGATGCCTTGGACGAGGGATGAAAACATTCGATATTTCAGGAAAACGTCAGCGTGATCATCGCACTATGAAGAGATTTGTGGCTGATTCAGAGCACAGACGGGTTGGTGCAGATAAAGGCACATTGAGGAAGATTTCTGCCAGATCCAGGCATCGGATCCAGAGAGCAGCTGCTAAAATCCCATTACATAGCAGCAAACAGATATTTGAAGCTGCTGGTGCCTCCGGAGTCCCACGGACATCAAGGTGTAGAGTCCTCCAGAGTCCTGCAACTGTGCAGAAACCTTCTATTCGGCCACCACTAACCAATGCTCACAAGCAGAAACGGCTGCATTGGGCAGGAAATATACATGAAGACTCATTTTCAAACAGTCCCGTTCACCGATGAGTGCCGTGCAACCCTGGAGGGTCCAGATGGATGGAGTAGTGGATGGTTGGTGGACGGCCACCCTGTTCCAACAAGGCTGCGACGTCAGCAAGGCGGTGGTGGAGTTATGTTTTGGGCCGGAATCATGGGAACAGAGCGGGTCGGCCCCTTTAGAGCCCCCCAAGGTGTAAAGATGACCTCTGCAAAGTATGTGGAGTTTATGACTGACCACTCTCTTCCCTGGTACAGAAGGAAGAACTATGCTTTCCGTAATAAAATCATCTTCATGCATCACAATGCACCATCTCATGCTGCAAAGAATACCTCTGCATCAATGGCTGCTATGGGGATAAAAGGAGAGAAAGTCATGGTGTGGCCCCCATCCTCCCCTGACATCAATCCTATTGGGAACCTTTGGAGCATCCTCAAGCAAAAGATCTATGAGGGTGGGAGGCAGTTTACATCCAAACAGCAGCTCTGGGAGGTTATTCTGACATCTTGCAAACAAATTCCAGCAGAAACTGTCCAAAAACTGCCAAGTTCAATGGATGCCAGACTTGTGATCTGCTATCAGATAAGGGCTCCTATGTTACAATGTAACGTGACCGCTTCAAATGGTTACAAAGTTACAATGTTGGGAAAAGTTGGATTGAAATAGCTTTTGATTTCAGTAAATTTGCTGCAAACACAACAAATGACAATTTTCAGTTCTTTACAACCTAGAAAGTGTTTTGGAAACTTCCTGTGCGGAATAATCCGGAACACAAATCCTGTTATCATTAGGAGGTTTGTTCAATAAAATGTGAATTGTCCTCTTCTAGTTGTCACCTGAGAATTCTGCCGACTTATTTACATCAATTATTGAGGGAAATGAGGAAATATCATCTGCAGAATCATTTGGAACGCGGTGTAGAGCTCCTGAACACATGAATGGGGAGAGTGCGGTGCGCTGCAGGCGGATAGGAAGGTCTGGTCTTGGCCTCCATCTTCTCTAATCTTTGTCTCCTCCTCCTCAGTGCGATGGTGATGGTGCGTTGGATGAAGATGGTCCTCCTCAATCATGCCTCCTATCTGTCCTCGGTAAGTGTCTTTTCTGCCCATTTTTTTTTTACACAGCTCTACCAACATGGAGAGCAGACAGGAGAAGGAATGATAGGTTTGCCTAGAATAGCCTCTTACACTGAGGGGGCTGTGTTTTGGCAGGGGGGGGGGGGTCTTGTGTTTTGGCGGGGGGGGCCGAAGGGGGGTCTTGTGTTTTTGGTGGGGGGGGGGGGGGCCTTGTGTTTTGGCGGGGGGGCCGAAGGGGGGTCTTGTGTTTTGGCGGGGGGGGGGGGGCGGCAAGGAGGGGCTTGTTTGGCATGGGGGGGCGCCAGGGGATCTTGTGTTTGGCGGAAGGGGTGCCGGGGGGGTCTTGTGTTTTGGCGGGAGGGGTGCCGGGGGGGGGGGGGGTCTTGTGTTTGGCCGGATCTCTTGTGTTTTTGGCGGGGTCTCTTGTGTGTTTGGCGGGGGGGTGTTTTTTAGTTCTCTTGTGTGTTTGGCGGGGGGGGGGGTCTCTTGTGTGTTTGGCGGGGGGGCCGGGGGTCTCTTGTGTGTTTGCGGGGGGGGGGGGGGGGGCCGGGGGGGTCTGGCGGGGGTCTTGTGTGTTTGGCGGGGGGGCCGGGGGTCTCTTGTGTGTTTGGCGGGGGGGGGGGGGCCGGGGGTCTCTTGTGTGTTTGGCGGGGGGGCCGGGGGTCTCTTGTGGTTTTGGCGGGGGCCCAGGGGGTCTTGGCCGTCCACATCTTCACACGGGGCCCTTCTGTGTTCCCAGTTTAACCTTCTTGTCCCGGCGGGTTGTGTCTTCCAGTTGCCAGATTTGGCCCCCCAGCTCGGGTCCCTCTATCAGCTCATGGAGACGCGGGTGAAGACTCTGCATAAAATGTCCCGTCTGAATGGAAAGCTTTATCTTCTCGTCACACAGGTGAGATAAAGGGGCTGGAAGTGAGAGGGGCCCCCACCCCCTAATCCCACTTACGGATATTTGATCCATTTTGCAGGCGGTGAGAGGGGGCGGGGTAGGAGAACTGTACAGCGATTGGTTCTCATCTGATCCTTTTTGTTGTGTTCTAGGTGACTGCGTCTGAGATCTCCCAGAGGATACAAACCAATCAGGAGCCCACAGTGGTGTATGAGGAAGGTGAGGTGATCCATTATCGGGGGTGTCCGGTGTAAGGACCAGAACATGCTATTTGGGTTCACGCATGCGGCTGTAGCGGGAGGTACAATGTGCAGTCGGGTGCCATTCTGTGCATGGGATGTGTAGGTGCCGCATGTGACCTGTCAGAGGGGATGATGGGAAAATGTGCAGCAGCTGTATACAGGTATATACTCCTCCTGCGGTCCTTGTGTCCGGGAATATATGCTGCCATAAATGCACTAGAGGGAGACACAGCTTGCAGATCCTCGGGGAGGTGGGAGGAATCCTCTGGAAGGGGGGAGGAATCCTCTGGAAGGGGGGGAGGGGGGAGGAATCCTCTGGAAGGGGGGGGAGGGGGGAGGAATCCTCTGGAAGGGGGGGAGGGGTGAGGAATCCTCTGGAAGGGGGGGAGGGGGGAGGAATCCTCTGGAAGGGGGGGGAAGGGGGAGGAATCCTCCGGGGAGGGGGGGAGGAATCCTCCGGGGAGGGGGGAGGAATCCTCCGGGGAGGGGGGGAGGAATCCTCCGGGGGAGGGGGGGAGGAAATCCTCGGGGAGGGGAGGGGGGGAGGAATCCTCGGGGAGGGGGGGGGGAGGAATCCTCCGGGAAGGGGGGGGAATCCTCCAGGGGGGGGGGAGGGGGGAGGAATCCTCCGGGAAGGGGGGAGGAATCCTCCGGGGAGGGGGGAGGAATCCTCTGGGAGGGGGGAGGAATCCTCTGGGAGGGGGGAGGAATCCTCTGGGAGGGGGAGGAATCCTCTGGAAGAGAGGGGAGGAATCCTCTGGAAGAGGGGGGAGGAATCCTCTGGAAGAGGGGGGAGGAATCCTCTGGAAGGGGGGGGGAGGAATCCTCTGGAAGAGGGGGAGGGGGGAGGAATCCTCCGGAAGGGGGGGGGGGGAATCCTCCAGTGGGGGGGGGGAGGGAGAGGAATCCTTGGGGAGGGGGTGAATCCTCCGGGATGGGGGGGGGGAGGAATCCTCCAGAGGGGGGAGGGGAGGGGAGAAGAATCCTCGGGAGGGGAGAAGAATCCTCGGGAGGGGAGAAGAATCCTCGGGGGGGGGGGGGGGGAGGAGGGGGGGGGGGAGGAATCCTCGGGAGGGGAGAGGACGGAGTCTCTGGAGGGGGGGAGAGGAGTCCTCTGGAGGGGGGTAGCTGAATTTCGGGAGGGGAGGAGAGGAGTCCTCTGGAGGGGGGGAGAGGAGTCCTCTGGAGGGGGGGGGAGGGAGTCCGGGGGGGGGGGGGAGGAATCCTCTGGAGATGGAGGGGGGGGAGGGAGGGGGGGGGAGGAGTCCTCTGGGAGGGGAGAAGAATCCTCGGGAGGGGGGGGAAGAATCCTCGGGAGGGGGGGGGGGGAGTCGTCTGGGAGGGGAGAGGAATCCTTGGGAGGGGGGGGGGGGGGGGAGTCCTCCGGGAGGGGGGGGGGGGAGGAGTCCGGAGGGGGAGGGGGGGGAGAGGAATCCCCGGAGGGGGGGGGGGGGTAAGCACATTTCTTGCATGTCTGTTCTCTGGTGTGTCTCGGAGGGGGGGGGGGTCTGTAGACCGCCTTGTAGTAACACATTGCTGTTTGTGTCTCGCAGAGTCTTCAGATGAGGAGTCTGTGGAGGACGAGGAGGAGAATGCCGACTCCGATGTGAGTATGAGATTGTCGGTGTGATTCTTGCATTGTACGGATTCCGGTGAACGCTCGGTGTACGCGGAGCACATAATGTGCCGAGGAAAGGCTCTTGGAAACCACTGAAATGTGACGTTCCAGCAGTTGTGCGCAGTGCAGCTCTGGACTGAAGGAGAGGATTTCAACAAAATCTACATTTTATTTATTTATTTTTACTTTTTCTAGCATGTTTGTGTTTTTTTTTTTTTTTCCTACTTGGGCGGGGAAAGATTCTGATTGTGTAGTACAGGACACATGCTGAGTATTCCTTACCCCTGGGTTATAGGCAGAAGTCGCACAAAATATGATAACGCTCCGAGGTTTGCAGGTGTGAAAGTGACGCCATGTTTGGTGATGAAAGTGGAAGTCATGTAATGCTCTTTTTTCTTCCGCTGTGTGATGAGACACCTAGATAACAGGTGGGAGGCCTCACTTTCTTCATTCACTGCTAGTAATACGGAGTCATGTCAGATCTTACTGAGCTTCAAAGAGGGCAAATTGTTGGTGCCGCTTTGCTGGTGTCTCTGTGACTGAAGTCGCCAGCTGATCTGCCGTGTTACCTAATTTGTGGCGAGGTTCAGTATCAACGGTGATGGCGGCATATACAGTTTCTGGGAAAACGGCGTCTGGTGAGCATAAGCCCCGCCCACATAGTCACCTGACCAAAATTGACAAAAGGACATTGCGCAGGATTGTAACCTGGAGTAACTGCAGAGCTCAATCCCAGTCTTCTAGCCCGTGTCCACAAACACTGGAACTCCATCAGCAGAACATTCCCAGGCGAGCTGCGATGGCCGAACCACTAGTGACCGATATTAATGCTCAGAAAGAGGAGAGAGCGGGGCAACACCCATAAATGGTGGACTAACAATCATTGGAAGATTAATATGGCCTGATGAATTGAGCTTCACACTGTCCCCCCAACCACCGGACGTGTTTACGTGTGACCAACACCAACCAAGGCTCACCACCTTGTGCCAACTGTAAAGCATGGTGGCGGCACAATCATGGTTTGGGCAGCCAGATCTTGGTATTCTGCAGGCTCCATCACTGGAAAGGTAGAGTCACTGCCAATGACTGTACAATTTTTGGCCAACCATGTGCCCCCCCCCCCCTCCCCATTTACCAAGATAACTCTCCAATTTCACACAGCTGGTGTTGTCAGGGCGTGGTTTGAGGATCATGCAGACAGTCTCGCACCTTTCCTGGGCGCCGGAGTCGCCGGACCTCAATATCAGAACCTCTATGATCAGTTTTGGAGAACGAGGTTCGGCTCGTTTTCCTCCTCTGGCATCTCTGTGAGAAATGGAACGATTTTTGCACGAGGAGCCGAATCAGATTCCATTGTCCACCATCCAGGACTTCTATTTGTCATTTTCTCGGAGAATTCAGGCCGACTTTAACCGCTTCCCAACCACGCTATAGCCGAAAGATGGCTGCAGCACAGTTGTCCCGTTATTGGAGGGCGTCCTTGGATGTCCTGCCAGAATGCGCCCCCAGCAGTGCACCCGGCGCTGTCGGTGATTAGGGAAACGGCCAATCACAGCAGATCAGTGTAAATAGAGTTGCCAGTTATTGGTAGAATTTAACGCCAATAACAGGCAAATGTGACAGGAGATCTTCAGTGATAATCAGTGCCGCCCGTCAGTGCCCATCATTGCTGTATATCAGTGTCTCCTCATCAGGGCCCACCAGCGCCGCCTCATCGGTGCTGCCTATCTGTACCCATCAGTGCTGCATACCAGTGCCTCCATCAATGCCTACCAGTGCCTCCACATCAGTGCTGCCTCTCTGATCCCGTCGGTGCTTCATACCAGTGCCTCTACCCATCAGTGGTGCCTCTACCCATCAGTGGTGCCTCTACCCATCAGTGGTGCCTCTACCCATCAGTGGTGCCTCTACCCATCAGCGGTGCCTCTCTACCCATCAGCGCTGCCTCTCTACCCATCAGCGCTGCCTCTCTACCCATCAGCGCTGCCTCTCTACCCATCAGCGCTGCCTCTCTACCCATCAGCGCTGCCTCTCTACCCATCAGCGGTGCCTCTCTACCCATCAGCGCTGCCTCTCTCTACCCTCAGCGCTGCCTCTCTCTACCCATCAGCGCTGCCTCTCTCTACCCATCAGCGCTGCCTCTCTCTACCCATCAGCGCTGCCTCTCTCTACCCATCAGCGCTGCCTCTCTCTACCCATCAGCGCTGCCTCTCTCTACCCATCAGCGCTGCCTCTCTCTACCCATCAGCGCTGCCTCTCTCTACCCATCAGCGCTGCCTCTCTCTACCCATCAGCGCTGCCTCTCTCTACCCATCAGCGCTGCCTCTCCTACCCATCAGCGCTGCCTCTCTCTCTACCCATCAGCGCTGCCTCTCTCTACCCATCAGCGCTGCCTCTCTCTACCCATCAGCGCTGCCTCTCTCTCTCTAACCCATCAGCGCTGCCCTCTCTCTACCCATCAGCGCTGCCCCTCTCTACCCATCAGCGCTGCCCCTCTCTACCCATCAGCGCTGCCCCTCTCTACCCATCACCCATCAGCGCTGCCTCATCAACGCACATCATTGAAGGAGAAACATTACCTGTTTGCAAAATTTTATAATAGAACCTTTTTTTTGTTGTTTTTTTTTTTTTTTTTTGTTTATAGTGCAAAAAATAAAACCCCCCAGTGGCGAGTAAATACCACTAAAAGAAAACTGAAAAAAAATTATAAAAACTTCATATGGGTACAATGTTGCATGACCACACAATTGTCATTCAGTCCTCATACACACGAGACGTTTTTACAGCGGCTGTTTTTGGCTTTTGTCCAATTTTTTTGGTGGCGTCCTAAAGGGATTGACCTCTTACACTCTATGGAGTCACTTCACCCCTTGGCGCCGAGCGTACGCAAAGTAGTGGCCCCACTGGACTGGGCTTTTTTTCTGTGGGGCCACTAATTTAAATTTCTGTCTTTGTGCTGCGCACAGCACTGGGACCAGGATGTCGGTGAGAGCCCCGTTCTAACGATCAGGACCTGGAACTCCTGATTCTGAGTCACATGATCTCTGTGAAAGTATCTGATTGGATATCCGTGATCAGTCACTGTGAAGCCCCGCCCCCCTTGTTTTCTCTGAATGGAGGAGAGAGCTACATTGTATCTGCCCTTTCAGAGAGAAAAAAGTGTTTTGTAAAAAAAATAAATATATTTTATATAAAAATACCTAATCAAGGCTTGATCCAGGTTAGTGTCAGGGTCAGGATTTTTTTTTTTTAATTTAGTATCGGTGTCAATGGCAGGATAAAAAAAAAAATCGAAATGCGCACTATATTGTTTGTGGGCCGCAGTACAGGTACAACTAACCTACATATGTGGTATCGCTGCCATCGCCAGGAGCAGGAGACATTATTTTGGGTGGTTCTTTGGTGGTACGTTATGGTAGTTGTAAGAACTATACAACTACATTAAAAAAAAAATTTTTTACTGTTTTGGGTCAGTTCTCCTTTTTGATGAGAATAAAAAAAAAAAAATCATGAGATACCCATCACCATTTACCACCAAATGAAAGTCCAATTTGTCCTGAAGAAAGCACAGTATATCCCCCTGGATGTACAAAGCAGTTGTGATGATACGGGCGGTTTTGCGAATGTGACAAAGTTGCAGATTTGTGTTTTGGGCTTTAAAATTAGTGTTACCCCCTCGGTGTGAAGGGGTCAAGTAGTTTACCAAACTGAAGAATCCAAATTAAAATAAAGTTGGAGAGCTGTATTCGGACGCACCTTTGATGTGGTTTTGGATCCCATGTTGGCTCACACTATGTGGGTTTTTAGATGTGGGGTAGTGCAGGTAGTGCAGTGTGTGTGTTTTTGTCTTGGTTATTGGCCAGTTGGGGCCCCTGCTGTCCACATACATCAGAGGGATGACCTCACTGATTGGTCAGCAGGCTGGGGTTGTATTTATGTCCAAGCTACGCTGCGGGACAGTTCCCGGAACCTGATTGATTGTGTCCTTTCTAGGGGGGGGGGGGGGGGGGGGTCTTACAAATCTGAATAGAATTACAAATTGTTTCCCATGTAGATCATTTAGCTGTTTGCCTATTAAAGCCCAGATCAGGCCTATACAGGTTTTCCAGTAGCTGCGAAAATAAAAACAAAAATTTTGCTGATGTTCTCTCCCTTAATCCAGAGCTGAACCCTGCAGTGATTCCTCTTCACCTCTAGATGTCCTAAGTGGTTTGATTTGATTGATGCTGGGCCCAGGGGATGGGCTTTAAGCGCTGTGGGCCCACCCCTGAGGGGTGCCAGTACAGATCTTTCTGCTTTATTTAGGTCTAGCGAAGAGGATCCTTCTTTTTACATGACATCTGGAAGGTGGAGGTGTTTCCGGAGTTGGGTGGGTGGGCGGTTTCCGGGAGTTGGGTGGGCGGGGCGGTTTCGGAGTTGTGGGTGGGGGGGCGGTTTCCAGAGTTGGGTGGGCGGGGCGGTTTCATGAGTTGGGTGGGCGGGGCGGTTTCCGGAGTTGGGTGGGCGGGGGCGGTTTCCGGAGTTGGGTGGGCGGGGCGGTTTCGGAGTTGGGTGGGCGGGGCGGTTTCATGAGTTTGGGTGGGCGGGGCGGTTTCATGAGTTGGGTGGGGGGCGGTTTCATGCAGGCAGTAGTGGGCGGGGCGGTTTCATGAGTTGGGTGGGCGGGGCGGTTTCATGAGTTGGGTGGGGGTTTGGGCAGCAGGCAGGCGGTTTCCGGGGGGTGGGCGGCAGCAGGCAGGCGGTTTCTGGCGGCGGGCGGGCAGGCAGGCAGTTTTCTGGCGGCGGGCGGCAGGCGGGCAGGCGGTTTCTGGCGGCGGCGGGCGGCAGGCAGGCGGTTTCTGGCGGCGGGCGGCAGGCAGGCAGTTTTTTTGGCGGCGGCGGGCGGCAGGCAGGCAGTTTCTGGCGGCGGACGGGCGGCAGGCAGGCGGTTTTCTGGCGGCGGACGGGCGGCAGGCAGGCAGTTTCTGGCGGCGGCGGACGGGCGGCAGGCAGGCAGTTTCTGGCGGCGGACGGGCGGCAGGCAGGCAGTTTCTGGCGGCGGACGGGCGGCAGGCAGGCAGTTTCTGGCGGCAGGTGGGCTTTAAATTTTAATTTTATAAATCTGTAAAAATTCTTTGTTCTCAGGATAATTGGGAAGAGGAGGCGGAGGTAGACGATGAGGATGATGGGGAATCTGAGGAATCGGGAGATTCGGATGAGGACATGAACGTAGACAAAGTGAATGGCGATTCTGATGGAGATCCCGGGAACGAAAGTGAAGAAGAATAGCAGTTTTTCCCGTAGGAGGGAAGATTGTCCTTCAATGCCCAGACTGTCCGGCTCTTCACTGTGCAGACTCTCTGCAGCTGTGCTGGAAGATGGGCCACTCCAACAGGATTGGGATCCCAACCCACGGAATGTTTAACCACGTCTGCCTTTTCACCAAGAACCCCATTTGCTCTCCATGTTCTGAACCTCTCAACAACTAGTCGAGCTCATCCTCGGATGTTTCATCCATAACCTTCGGTTAATCTCCATGTATAATTTCTGCGGTCATTTTTTACCATTTTCTTTTTCTCTCTGCCATGTGACACCCCCCCCCCCACAATTGTGTTCTTGATTTCAGTTGGTTTGTTGGCAGCAAATTGGTAACAAAGAAAATTTACGGGAAATGACGAAATTTCTCGGACATTTCACTGTTGTTCCTCAGCCTCACAGAAAGGAACTGAACAAACTTTTTCAAGCAGCCCAAGCCATGAAATATCTTTGATTGGTTCCCAGATGTTTGACGTTGGGTTGAGCCAATCAAACGTGGACTTCAGTCACTGTCCGATCACCACTTCTCCATTATCCAACTATTTAATTTTTTTTTTTTTTTTTTTTCTCTAACGCAAATTTTTACACATAAATCCGTGTCATTGTGTATTTTTTTATTTTTGAAAATGAGAACGTGAGCAGACTTTAATTTTTCTTTTTTCATTTTTAAATTAAGCCTGTACATTTTTTGAAAATAGCCATTTATCCTTTCGGTGTAAAATAAACCTTAAAAAAAAAAAAAAAGGAATTTTTTTTTTTTTCCTATAATGCAATTTTTTTTTTTTTTTTCTTCAGCAATTCTGGTTTGATTTTTGTTTTTTTTTTTCAAGGCTGAATTTGTTTTTTTTATTTTAAGAAGCAACTGCAGCTGTTTGTATAACCTCCAGGATATAATGTACAGTATATTTGTCTATAAAGCTGTTAATGGCATCGTTAAAAACGCCACCTTTGTAAAGTGAATAAAAAATATAGTTCTCCTTTGCCCTGAGTTGGAGTTTTGTGAAGATCACAAGGTCCTCGTACGTTTGTTGGAATGATCCCGGGTTCACACTGATGCGGGGGGGCGGAATGAACAGCGTTTTCTGTGTGAATTCCGCATCAGAATCGCACCCCGTTCATGGGAACCGCTGCGGGTGTGTATGTTAACACCCCAAAAGCGGTCTGCAAAACACTGTGCAATATGCAGAATCGGATCGCATAGGAGTGAATACCCGTGCGATCCGATTCTGTTGTGGGCCAAAAAAAAAAAGGGTCCTGCACAGGGCGGACTGACAACACATGGGGGCCCCCGGGCAATAGGGGATCATGGGGCCCCTGTGTCCTTGCCCAAACTCAAAAAAGCCTATGAAAAAGGTACCAGGGGCATCTCATGGGGCCCCCTACTGACCCCGGGCCCCTTGGGCAGTGCCCGAGTTTCCAAATGGTCAGTCCACCCCTGGTCCTGCACCTTTGTTGCGGTGTGATTAGAGCCATACTAAATGTACGACTCCGATCGCACCGCACAGAAATCACGTGATTTGCACAGGAATGCGGTGCGCACCGCAGATATGTGAGCCCAGGCCGAGTCTATTTGCTGCTAGTAACCAATCATCTCTCTTGCTTTGCACATGGAATTTCATTTTTTTTTTTCTGATCAACAAACCTTTTCCCGCATGCCCCTTTCTTGTACAGCCTGGGTTCACACTATGCGGCACCGCATTCCTGTGCGAATTATATGCGGGTGTCTGTGCGGTGCGATTTGAGCCATATGCCTTGTGTTAGTGGTGCACCAAAATCAAAATTCTGGTGCCGAAACCAAATATTCAACTAACCGAAATGCTTTTTTTATTTTTTTATATATGAATATTTTTTTTTTGGGATTTTTTCAGCTGATTTATTTTTTATTTATTTTTTTTTTTGTGTTTATTTTTTTTTTTTTTTATTTTTTAATTTATTTTTTTTTTTTTTTTTTTTTTTATTTTTTTGTTTTTTTTTTTTTTTTTTTAGTTTTTTTTTTTTTTGTGTTTTTTATATTTATTTTTTTTTTTTTATGTTTTTTTTTTTATTGTTTTTTTTATTATTTTTTTTTGTTTTTTATTTTTTTTTTTTTTTTTTTTTTTATTTGTTTGTTTTGTTTTGTTTTTTTTTTTTTTGTGTGTATTTTTTTTTTTTTTTTTTTTTTTTTTTTTTTTTTTTTTTTGTTTTTTATTTGTGTTTTTTTTTTTTTTTTTTTTTTTTTTTTTTATTTTTTTTTTTTTGTTTATTTGTTTTTTTTTTTTTTTTTTTTTTTTTTTTTTTTTTTTTTTTTTTTTTTTTTTTTTTTTTTTTTTTTTTTTTTTTTTTTTTTTTTTTTTTTTTTTTTTTTTTTTTTTTTTTTTTTTTTTTTTTTTTTTTTTTTTTTTTTTTTTTATTTTTTTTTTTTTTTTTTTTTTTTTTTTTTTTTTTTTTTTTTTTTTTTTTTTTTTTTTTTTTTTTTTTTTTTTTTTTTTTTTTTTTTTTTTTTTTTTTTTTATTTTTTTTTTTTTTTATTTTTTTTTTTTTTTTTTTTTTTTTTTTTTTTTTTTTTTTTTTTTTTTTTTTTTTTTTTTTTTTTTTTTATGTTTTTTTTTTTATTTTTTTTTTTTTTTTTTTTATGTTTTTTTTTTTGTTTTTGTTTTTATGTGTGTTATGTTTGTGTGTTGATTTATTTACATATGTGGGCATGACCTATGTATGTGTTCACCGTGGGGGGACGGGGAGCACTTAAAGGTTTAAAAAAAAAAAAAAACAATTTTTTTTTTTTTCTTTCACTTTCCTGGATCCACTTATCATGGGTGTATTTACAGGGCCACGAGTACCTATTTGCTCTAACAAAGGAAGCCTAGGGTTTTGCTGAGAAGGGTTCCTTTTGGTTTCTCCCAGACCTCAACCTCCAAAGCCGGTCTCAAACGTGGCATCTGAAACCTTGGACAATTTCAGCTCATTGGGGCATCTGTCATCCTTTGCAGATGTTAGGACAACCAGCATATTGGCTGATTGACTTCCAGGTGCTACAAGCTACAGTTCCTCTCTCGGCTCCTCACTCGGTTTGTTTTTTCCAATCTGCCTGCAGCCCCTTTTGTCTTCATTGAGGTCATGAAATTTTGCAAGGAATTTGCCAGGTCTTTCAAAACCTAAATGGCAGGGAGAACGTCTGTCCTCTGTGGTCATCAACCATGCATACGTGCATGTCTCCATTTTTTCCCAGTGCATCAGTGGCTTCTTAGTTTGTGGCCCCGTCATTTGGCCTGTCCTCTGAATCTCATCAAAGTGCTGGCCCCTCAGCTCATCTTGCTATGCTCCCTGGGCATCACCATTGTGGGATATCTGGATGACTTGTTGAGGGAACAGTGGAGACCAGCTCTGGCTGACAATGTGGCTTGAACAGTTAGGTTCTTGTAAATGTTAGTCATGATCCTGAACCTTCAGAGCCGAGTACTGGACCTGACTGATCGCTTGGAGCATCTTGGCCTTATCTTGGACACAACTCAAACCGGAATTTTCCTTCCTCATAACTTGGTCTACAGTTCAGGAATTACCAGACTTGCTGATTCTGCATCAGTGTTCTGGGGCTGATGGTAGCCTCCATCCAGGCAGTCCTGTTTGCCCAGTTCCATTCCAAACCTCTACAACTCAACATTCTGAGGTCTTGCTTCTGTTCAGTCCTTGGACAGACAATACCCTGTGGTTGTGTTGTACTTTTTATGGTCCCTCCAACCCCCTTTAGCCTGCAGAGCCAGCAGCTGAGGGTGAACACATTCTGTGGTGGGAATTATTACACCTGTTACTTATGGTGGAGCTACTTTCCGCTGATTGCGACCCCTCTCAAGTGAATGGGGCCACTGCACAAGTACCCCGCAATTGTGTGGTCCAAGGGGTTAAACAGGTACTGAGGAGGCAATAAATGTCTGCTTAAAAGCCTGCTGAACACTGTACTGTACAAGGCTTCAGGGTGACCCCATTCACTTAAATAGACCACACTTGGCTGGTGCTACACCCGCCAAGCATGACGGTGTATAATCCCTGCTGCAGCCACGATACGTGTACAGCCTTGGCCACTGCAGCTAGATGGGGGTGTGGTAAAAAATATGGTTTTTACAGCCTTGAAAACCACAATTGTAAACAAGCCCTTACTGTCTTGAGTCTCCAGTTGCTTGCTCAGTTATAAATGGTGTTATGCCCTTGATGACACTTGCTCAGTATGGTGTGTGTGGGTTTCACTTGTAGAACACTGAGCTGAACCTAATAGCCTGAAGATAATATGGGAGTGAAGTGCGCTGTCAGGACACCATGGGGCTCTTTGCCTCCTGCAGCTGCTGCCGCCATGGCTCTGGTCCAGATAAGCAGGATCCAGAGAGGCGAAGTGCGGGTGATCTACCTACAGCCGAATCTAGAGAAGCCGTATCAACAGATGCATCCGCCTGGTGGACCCGCATCAAGTAAAAAAAAATTAGTGCCATGGCTTTGTATGAGGCTCCATTGTGTCTGAGGTTCTGTAGATGGCGACTCGGCAAGCAGAGGGCACGATCTAGCGGCCACCTTGCTGCAATTGGTGGGATGCTGACCCTTGCACTACTCGATCTCAGTCCTATTTAGAATTTTTGCCATCAGACTGCTGTTTCCTAGATATGCAAGGCCGTCAATGTAGGGTGTCTCTCTGTGAACACCCAAGAAATGGATTTTACGGTAGGTAAAAAAAAAAAAAAATTTTTTGTTCTTAGGTTTTATGCACCGAATTTCCTATCCTTTTTTTTTTTTGGTTTTTTAAGTCGTGAGGCATTATAGTGGCCATATAACACACAATACTGATTCAGACCATCCTCTAGTAAAAGCATGTCCATCAAACTGGTGGGTATGTGCAGGCTCTCTCCCTTTGCATGGTGTTCAGAGGTTTAAGGAGATTGCAACCTTGCCCATCAGGAGAACATGACCCATAGTGCCACAGTGTTCCCCCACCACTCCTGTGGCCCCTGCAG